ATCAAAAGTGATTTTTTTAATACTGGTGTGATTTGTACATGTACAATATAATATACATTGTACATGTATTTGGTATCATTATTACATTGTATGTAGAGGTAGTATCGCAGTTATTTATCAGTGGGAAATTGCTGTGTGATCACCAGGAGCAGAGCTTTACACTGGCACATAGAAGTACAAAACAAGAACTTATAGAAAAGAAAAAGGACCATCGAACTACAAGCTACGCTACAATATCCACTAACACCACTAGTTCAGTAGTAGTAGTACTAGTAGTACCAAGAGTACATATGTACTCTTGGTAGTACTAAACAATCAGCTCATGCGATAACATTGCACGACACTGACCGACAGTAGGGACCTTTCGCATTTGCTACGAAACGAATGCGAAACGAAAGTTTGATTCGGCTCGTAATCGTTTCGTTGAAAACAGATTTCAGGTTTCGCGAGTCGTCATGCAAATGTGCATGGCAACTACGAATACGGCCGCGGGCGCCGGTAGTTTGGCGTACGGGTTTTTACACGCACACGTGCATGGATCATGGAATCAAGGGAAAAATGTGTACCTTGCAAAACATGTGTATCTATCCAAATAAATGTGTACCTGACGGATTCGGAGCGTGCCACGAATGAAGAGGCTTCCATTCGTGAAAACGAGTTCTCCGCAGGGACTCTGACGAATCCTCGAACCCAGGTGACGAATCAGCATTCGTTTCGTATCCGTACGCGGGGTGCGAAAGGTCCCTAGTACTGCCGTTCTACAACTACTGTAACTGGCTAACAGCTCTAGCACATCTTGGATGTGCACTACACCAGCCTTCCAACTTGGAAGGTTCTAAGGTACATGTATAATTATGATAACATACATGTATGAGGGGAAGGTGATTGTTTAGTAACTGGTGGTGTTCGTGGATATTCTAGCATAGCTTGCAGTTCTTTGGTCCTTTTTCTTTCCTATAAATTTATCCTTGGCTCTCCTTCCAAAAACAAGAGCTGTTCAGTATGCTTCACAAACAAGGAATGAATCTGCCCCAGGCCTTGGTGCAGAAGGGTGAGTCGTCAGGCTGCTTGAAAGCTGTTGCGGCTCTTCGCTAGTCCTTTTCTCTATCCTCCAGCGACTACATCTGTCAACGAGGCATGATAACAGCTCTTCTTCGCGACTCCAGTGAGCTATCCAGGAGTCGTCCCCCTTCCAAGACTCCCATAACTACATGTATATCTGTAGAGCCAAAGTCACCTTCCAGGCAGCTCTTTCAGGAGACATGTGCTGCTGCTCAGCCTGGTATGATGGTATCCCGCCAGATCCCGCTGCCCATTGATGGTGTGCTACAACCTCTCCATCCGATGGCTTTCACTGTTTTTAAGATCCAGCGCTTTTGCTGCAGCTTGACAGATTATAGTCGCTGGAGGATAGAGAAAAGGACTAGCGAAGAGCTGCATCAGCTTTGCCTGACGACTCACCCTTCTGCACCTACATGTACATGTACACAGTGTACATGTACATGTAGGTGCAGATTCATTCCTTGTTTGTGAAGCATACTGAACAATTCTTATTTCGTACTTCTGTGTGCCAGTGTCAAGCTCTGCTCCTGGCGACCACACAGCAATTTCCCACTGATAAGTAACGGCGACACTACTTCTACAGTCTACATACAATGTAATACTGATACCAAATACATGTACAATGTGTATTGTACATGATTGTACAAATCACACCATGTACCAGTATTAAAGGGAAACTGAACGCCAAAAATAAGTATGGCTTATCCGAAGGAGAATTGGGCACTGATTCCGATGAGCTATGTCTCGAGCCGATCAGAGAAGAGGAACTGTGTCAAATTTCATAAATAACACCTCACATATTTGGAAATTGGCCTTGATGACGTGCGTACTGCTTAGCTGTCACCATGCTGTGCATGTTCAGCAGTGTAATTGAATGGAAGAAAACAATTACTTTGGTGTTTTGCAGCTCTGTTTCGTTCCCTGACGGTAACCAAATCTAGATGTAGGAATCTGTTGAGCAGGAGAGTGACACATGTCTTCCCGAAGGCTGTCCAGGCTGCAGTGGTGATGAAGAAGACACGATCATCACCCCGAGATCGATCGTAGCGAATTGGAAAACTCATGACTCATGGTGAATTTGCTTCCACTCCAAGGCAATGTCGAGGTATGAAGGGTGCTTGTACTGCCTTCCAAAGTGAAGAGGAGATGAACATGGCTTTGCATAGCTGTTGTTCTATGCCAACTTACCTACTCTTGCTGGTACCGTAGTGGCATATTGCAAATTTCGTGGACGAACAACTCTAGTCACTAGTGGCTAGTGAGCAACACTAACAGGTGAGATTTTTCAATTCGACAAAAATTGTTTTTGTTTGAGAACTGACAGTGGCAGTCATTAGACTCAGTAGGTGTCTCTCTGCTGCTTCTTTCCCTTCATCGGTAGGGTTGTGCTTGAAGTAAAAATAAATAGAAAATGTGGAACAAAAATCTGATCATGTAATTCGAATTTGAACATCAAAGTATGTGTACATCAAATCACAAAAATGACTGTCAAGGTGGTGCTGTGCATTGAAAAGGACCGGGAGCTGGCAGCAATGGAAAGGGTAGAAACGAAACCAGTAATGCAGAGTATTCATAAGGTAGAGGGAGATAAAAACGGGAGAGGAGTAGTGAGCACTTCAGTTTGAAGTAGTGTCAATAGACAGCATCGTGTTGCATACGTTGTGAATATTGTGTGAATCTAATAATTGTCACGAAATTGATATCCAAAATTATTATCCCCTGAGTAGTATTATGGTGTTCTCCTGTGTTTACATGCAGAGCCTTGACGTTGCTGGACAAGCGACAATATAAATTACATAAACATGTAGCTCGTGATGTGGGATGACTGCCGTATCGCATTGCCAACGCAAACCCATCCTGTGTCAGTGCAGCCATCCAGCAACTTGAACTCCCCGGACCAGATGCCGCTGCAGCTGAACACCATGCCGATGGAAAGCCAGGAGTTGATAACGAAGCATTCTGGTCTGCACAGTACAAGGCAAAGAACAATTATGAATTATAATGCATTGTAATCTTTCCCACACTTCTTTGTAAAAACAAACAAACAGTGCCATTATCACAACACTTGATCAAGCATCTTGATGGAGGTATTTTCCATTGTGCTGGCTCAGCATCTGCACCAGGAAGACCATGTACACTTACACGTATCTTGTGTGTGTGTTCGTGCGTGTTTGTGTATCTGTATGTGCACACGTGTGTGTGTGGGGGGGGGGGGGATGCACATGTGTATGGGTAGGAATGTGTGTGTGTGTGGGGGGGGGGGGGTACACGCACATGTGTATGGATGTGCGCGCTGCATGCGTGTGTCTGTGGGATGGGATGGGGGTGCACGCACATGTGTACATGTGTGTGCGCAATACAGCATGTGTGTATGTGTTCGTTGAACACAGGGTGTACTCTTGATTACGTAAACTTCGTGATCATTGTGATTTCATGTGCTTTGAAGTTGAACTTCGCAATACATGTACTGATGCTTGATTAGATTTATGTTCCACATGTTCTATTTATTTTATTTTACTTCAAGCACTTGTATTATTCAAGCACAACCCTACCAATGAAGGGAAAGAAGCAGCAAAGACACCTACTGAGTCTAATGACTGCCACTGTCAGTTCTCAAACAAAAACAAATTTTGTCGAATTGAAAAATCTCACCTGTTAGTGTTGCTCACTAGCCACTAGTGACTAGAGTTGTTCGTCCACGAAATTTGCAATATGCCACTACGGTACCAGCAAGAGTAGGTAAGTTGGCATAGAACAACAGCTATGCAAAGCCATGTTCATCTCCTCTTCACTTTGGAAGGCAGTACAAGCACCCTTCATACCTCGACATTGCCTTGGAGTGGAAGCAAATTCACCATGAGTCATGAGTTTTCCAATTCGCTACGATCGATCTCGGGGTGATGATCGTGTCTTCTTCATCACCACTGCAGCCTGGACAGCCTTCGGGAAGACATGTGTCACTCTCCTGCTCAACAGATTCCTACATCTAGATTTGGTTACCGTCAGGGAACGAAACAGAGCTGCAAAACACCAAAGTAATTGTTTTCTTCCATTCAATTACACTGCTGAACATGCACAGCATGGTGACAGCTAAGCAGTACGCACGTCATCAAGGCCAATTTCCAAATATGGGAGGTGTTATTTATGAAATTTGACACAGTTCCTCTTCTCTGATCGGCTCGAGGCATAGCTCATCGGAATCAGTGCCCAATTCTCCTTCGGATAAGCCATACTTATTTTTGGCGTTCAGTTTCCCTTTAAATAATTCACTTTTGATGACATTTATATTTTGAAGGCAGTTTTGGGAACTTCTATCTTCACTTATGACTTTGACAGCCATTCATTATCTATTTGACCCATATTGCATGTCTCTTGAGCTAAAAAGAGGCAATTTACATGTACGTTGCTATGGTAACCATGGCAATTTGAGTAAATAGGCCATAACTCTTGAACGGACAACTTTGGCACATTCTGGTTTTCAGGAATCAGTTACTGGTTGTTATGCCATTCCAAATCCGTCAAAAAATCCTTCCTGGACAAGGTGTCTGTCACACTAACTCCTTATTCCTTGGACTTTTGCTGACTTGGCTTCTAGACTCAGTCTGCTACAGCTGTATTTTTTTTGTAGCCGATGCGAGCAGCTCTAGTTGATCTACGAGTAGATCATTCTTATCAAGAGTACATAAGTTATGACGTACTCTTGTTCTTATCTATGATCTGAGTAGATCGACGTACCGATATCGCGATGGATAGACGATAGAGCATGTACATGTACATGTACCTACACGATCAAACCCGCGCTTTTCGTGAGTTCAAACTGTGAAAACTCTTGCACCGGTGCACCGTAAACTGCATACTAGTAGTAGTATACGGGGATCGGCTGGTTGATGGCCTGAACTTTGCTGAAGCCAGTGAAGGCTGAAGAAAAGCGAAGTACATTTTGTAACAAAACTATCTTGGGACAGAAGGTGCCCTGCAATCAGGGATGGGCAGCACCAACGGAGCAAGGAGTTGAGAGAAACCTTTCACTAAAACAGCCTTGAATCCTAGCGGTAGCAGTGGAGTTTGCCTTCAGAGCAGGTGCCGTGCCGTCTTCGTGGCCGCACGCAGTGTTCCGTAATGTCGAAACGGAGGATCAGAGCAGCAGCAGGATACACAGGTGAGTTGTCGGCAAATTTCTGCAATTGAGTGAAGTTTGAACTTTGAATACTGCTTACTAGAAGTTGTTCCATCTTGGCGAAGCCACTTCGAGGGAACGTGGCTTCCAAGCGCTCCGCCGGAGCAGTTCGTTCAAAAGCGTATATGGCTGAAGAAACACTGACAAGTTGTGTCATCCATTTCGAAATTGCCGTCAATGCTAACATGTCGAAAAAGGGTTTTCGTCCTTCGACCCTTCCTTTCCTGCTTCGACAACGTGGATTGAACTCTACTTTCATTTCAGTGATTGGATTGGCAGCGTACCATAGCCTTTTGCAAATGCTTGTGCCTTTATTGGCCTCTTCAACTGCCTTACTTGTCGTATTTGGATAGGAGAACGAGGATATGACCTTTTGTACTAGTTGCACGCCAGTCCAGCCAGGGACCCTTCGTATTTGAACACTGTGTCTGTTACATTCACGAATTACGGATATCTCCTTATGGAAGATGTCAGCTGAGAACTAGTTACTTTCAATCAGGGAGATATGGAGGGGGGGGGGGGGGGGGAGGGAGTGGAGAGGCGCACATGAAATGTTCTCTCCAAATCCGGATTAGTGCAAAATAGTGTTTGACTAGCGCAAATTACTTGAAATTAGTACGTTCACGTTCAGTCACCTGCCAGCCATGTATAGAGTATAGAGGTGATGCGAATGATTTCACAGGCACATTTTCTAATGCGCGCTAAGTAATAATAAGAGTTTACTGCACGGGCCAGCAGATTTTCTAATGGCCTCTATCAAGAGTAGATAAACAAGAGGGTGCAACTACAGTTGTGGCAAGTGAAATCCGACACTTGCCATAGGGGACAGCGCCTCAAATGGACATCAATGATGTAATTCACTGCACCTAATTTGTACTATAGAGCCGCATGCATCCCAAACAGGTCGAAAGGTCACAGCTTAGATACACACAGTTCACAAATATGGTACACATAAGGAGTATTGGTATCCAATTCCCATTCATTTTTGCCAGCACCTTTTGAACCTTGACTGTGATGAGTACGAATTCTGTCATCAGACAGATAAAGTTATATGCAGCACATGTACTGTACGTATGCAGGGCTGCAGAGGCTGCAGGATGCACGGTGCAGTCCCTTATGCCAAGTGTCGGATTTCACTTGCCACAACTGTACTAGATGGGTTCGCCCACGGCAGAATTTTTTGTTGATGTAATCTTTTCTACGACGCACGCGTTGCAAGTCGTTTGGAAAGTTATGGTCCGTGCACGTGCTCTCACACTGCTCTGCGGCAAAATACGCATTTTTTTTCTGAAAAAAAGGTGACGTCAACAAAAAATTCCGCCATGGGTCGGGGTATCTGCAGATTGTGCAGGAGAGATGCGGAGTTGCACACTCTTGTTTATCTACTCTTGGCTTTATGTAGGCAGCGGGGAGGTTGCTAGTGCAAGACTTACAGATCGTAATTATAATTATAGCGCTGAGCTGTGCCGTGGCTCAAAGCATCTCAACTGATGATGACGTAATCAACTTTCTACGGCAAAGAATCCGGGCAACGAAAACTATTTCCGATGTCATCGTTGTGTACTGTCGTGAAGCGATGTCCGACACCTGCGCACTGTACACCGGGAATTTTTTAAGTTCGCGATTTGCGAGCACAGACAACTTTGCACATGGAGATGTTTGGTTGGAGTCAATTTCCCCAGACTCTTTACTACAGTTCTACGTTGTGCGCCGGCTCAGTTGTGTGATTTCACACCCATTGCACAAAAAAACCCGCGAAGGATTCTGGATCGCAAGGGTTTCTGGGTTGACAGTATTGTCACACACACACGCACGCACACGCACACACACACACACACACACACACACACACACACACACACACACACACTCAGGGGGCGTGTATGCCTGACTGTCTAGCCTTAGGTGTCGTGCCTGTTTCCCGTACCTGGATTGTTGTTGTTTTTGTCATCGCTGTCGTCATCGCTGTCGTCATCGTTGTCGTCGTCGTTCGTTGTTTGAATTTTTTGTTCTCACAATGGCCTGTGGGCAATACGTTCTTATCGCTGTTGTTGTTGTTTGAAATCTTTTATTCTCACGATGGCCTGTGGCCAATAAGAGAAAAAGAATTACAGGCACGGGAATCGGATACAGAGAGATCAAAGTTTAGCTGCTTGCTGAAGCAGTAGCGATGGACATAGGGAGTTGATCACATAGGCTGGGCACAATGGAGCTATAGATGTGCTGAGCAAGTACATACGGAAGAGATGACAAGTGGTAGGATGTTTGCTTTGAAATCTCGTCTGGGGTTGATTTGCTGGAGGCTGAGTCGAATGCTATTAAAGAGATGTTGTTGTTGTTGTCGTCGTCGTCGTTGTATTTCGTGGTTGCGGTGCTGGTGGTGGTGGTGTGTGTGTGTGTGCATGTGTGTGCGTGCGTGCATGCGTGTGTGTGTGCGTGTGTGTGTGTGTGTGTATGCATGTGTGTGTGTGTGTGTGTATGCATGTGTGTGCGTGTGGAGTAGTATTGCATTCCCGCTACTTGCTCGTCGTCTTGTTTGCGGCGGCCACGGCACTGCTGTCGGCAAACGGAAAGCAAACGGACCCTCTGTCCACGGGGAATGGCACGGTTCTTGCACCGTCGAAACGTATGGTGCCGGCTTCGGCCGGAGTGCTACCAGACAACAAGAGAGTGCTCCCGCCCGGGGGGAACGGAAAGACCCAGGCAACGTCCCCCTCGCCCACGACGTCAGTGACATCGTCCCCGACGACGGCGGTGGCGACAACATTGCCAACGGCGACAAGATCCCCGTGCGTTGTTAGCGATAGCACTCTTGGTTGTAATGGACCAAGCATCACGTCAGTTCCGCCAGGCATAGGGAGACACGTTGGCATCGCACAATTGTAAGTATTACGCCGTACAGTGTGTGCATGCCGTTGCGAAGAGAAGCGTTCACTTGTAGACCCTGCTTCAGAGTGCAAGTAAAGGTTGACTGCCTCGGATTCGAGTACGATATCCCAGACGACCTCCAGAAACACACACGCACACGCACATGCACACACACACACACACACACACACACACACACACACACACACACACCATTGGACCATTTGACGCCCATCGCCGGAGGCGATCACACACACACACACACACACACACACACACACACACACACACACACACACACACACACACACACACACACACACACACACACACACACACACACACACACACACACACACAGTCACACACACACCAGTAAAGGTTGACTGCCTCGGATTCGAGTACGATATCCCAGACGACCTCCAGAAACACACGCACATGCACACACACACACACACACACACACACACACACACACACATACCATACCATACCATACTGACCAACCACCGACATCTCACTAACTGGATGGCACCACAACAATTGAAAAAGAGCTTTTCCCGCCAAAAATAACGTTTGGCGGCATAGACTATGCAGATCTGCATACAGCACCGTTCGACCCTGCAGTGCAGTTTGATCAGTTGGCGCCCACCTAGCTGGCCTGTCAGTGCAGATGTCGCAGGCTAGGCTGGCCAGGTGTTGAAAGTGCCGTGCACAGTTCGAAGTGAGAGTTTGCACCGTACATACTTTTGAAGAAAAAAACGGTACATTGGATGCCGAATCCATGGAGTTTTCAGGAACATTCTGTATCAGACAAAAATGTGACTTTTCCGGGAGTTTTCTTGAAATACCCGGGACTCTGGGAATATTAGGGAGCTTTCGCTCTAAGTAATTACGTATGAAAATCCGTATGTCGTACGCGCCGGGGAGCGAGGGCAACTTTCATACGTAAATCTCTCTACGGATTTCCGTAGGAAAGCTCTTTCGTGGTGCACGCGGTGGGCGCACGCAGCCAACGCGTCTCCAAAGCAATAAGGCATGTTTAGCAGTCGTGGAGAAGTCACGTAGAGCGAAACCCAACAGCGCTGATTTTTACGTATGAAAATTACGTGCAGTTCCTACGTTATTTTCATACGTAATTCTGTAGAGCGAAACCTCCCTATTGTTGATTTCCCGGGAAAACCGGGAGGTTTGGCCTGCATGACACACACACACACAAATACATACCCCCCCCCCCCCACACACACATATATATATATATATATATTTAAATAGAGAGGTAGGCGAACAAAATTTATATACACACAACAACAAGGTTGTAAGTTTCATAACACTAAAAGCTTTTCACCCATTTTCATCAGTAGGTACATGGGAATGAGCAAGAACGAAAACGAAGCCAGAATTTATACTGGGGGTAGAGAATCAGCAAGAATATTCTTACGCGCCTCAAGTTCACACTACACTACCATAAGAATGTATGGAGCAGTGGAAAAATGCGGGAAACAACACATGAAGGGAATGCAGTACCAGAACAAACACGTGATAAAGTTGTCAGTCTGGTTGCAGCTTGAACAGCCGCAGCACCTTGATGTGCTTCTTTTGTCGACACAGCTATATATACATGCACACACACACACACACACACCATGTATACGTCCGTCGCAAGAGAAGCACGCAAATCTGGATGTGCACCCACAGGCTTTCTCTTATAGCAACGATAGCGAACAAGATCTGAATGAGACAGATCAAGACTTGCGCCAGATAACTGTCTAGTCCACACAACTGGCGAAGCCATGTGAATCAACCACCAATGTGCACCTGGTCTACACCACACGGAGTGCATCGGCATAAAACGGCCAAGACAGTTACCTATGCACACCCTACACTTGCTGGGGTAACCAGTCTAGACAGCACGCTGCTTTGATAGAAGCAGACACTAGATGCACTGGTACCTTGAAGTGAAATTGGATTTACTTTATCAACCAGCCTCGGCTACTGAGTACTGGGAACCCAGAGCCAACAGACATACCAACAACCTCAGCCATGAAAGCTATTATAGTAACGACACACTGGATTGTGGAGCCGAAACTAGTCCAACTTTCAAATACTTTTGGCAAGAAGGTAGCCTTCCGACATTGGACACACACACACGCACGCACATGCACACACACATGCACACACGCACATGCCACCTAACTCTCTCCTACTTCTCTGCTTGTTTTGCAGAACCCTCCTGCGTACTAAAATACGCTCGATACCAAGCATGGCATTCTTCAATTTCAGTTTTACCCGGTTGACCAAGTTGTAAGTATTTTTTGAAAAGATACCATGCTTTTTAAAAAGAAATGAAAAAAGGAATTACCGTATTTTTCCGGTTGTAAGTCGACCTTTTACGACTAAAAATAGAAGGAGAAAGGGTGGGGGTCGACTTACAACCGGGATTCGACTTATAACCGGGAACTATCAGTATCTTACAAAAAATGACCTGCACTGCATGCACGAGTGCACCATGTGTACACATTTTTGCCAGTATATTGGCATTGTTTCAAGGATTGGGGCGGTATACCCTCCAATAAGGAATGTTTACCTGATTTGTTGATGTGTTAGTGGCAGGGAGTGGTTAGTAATGCTTCGATGGGTGAAAACTCTGAAACGCAGAATTGAGACCTCCAGATACGGGGTCGACTTACAACCGGTAAAATACGGTACGTGAGCATTCTCAACCCATGTTGCAGCTCTGGATGATTGTATTATTGAGGTGGGTGTTGACACGAGGTGATTAATCTGAGGTTACTGACAGGTATTTGCTGACAAGAATCTGTTTCTAGAGTCCTGTAATAACCCATTTCTAGAATCCTGTAAGAATCTCTTTCACGAGTCCTGTATGATCGTGTCACTTGTCTTCCGGGCCATTCACACTATGCCCAAAACGTGGCGTACGTGACATTTTCGTCCGGATAGCCATGGCAACGTAGAATGTGACGGGAAAATCGAACGCCTGATACGATAACGTAGACGTTTCCAGGCCTGCACCAAGATTCGTTCTGTTGTTCTCAGCAGTTTGTATCCAAAATAAGCTGTTCACACAGCTGTACGAAAAGCGTGTACGTGCCTGTGTGAATGCGCCTGCATGGAAACGACGTCTGCCAGTACGTGCAGTTCCAAAATGTGACGCATATACTGTAGAGGCAGAAACTTTCGTCGGTCAAACATTCCGTCCAACTCCTAAGAAAGGGAGTTCGTCCGGTTGAAAATTTCGTCCGTGGATCATCTAAATAGTGTATAGAAAAGCTGGACAAATCGACATTAGTCCGGCACTTAATTCAGTCCAAAAGTTCCTTGGACGAAAAAGACGAAATTAAATTCCAGACGAATATTTCTGCTTATACAGTATTGGAACGTAGTATGAATAGCCTGCTAGCCAGGCTGTTTGTATTGGCTGTGCTGTGCTTGCCCACTGCTACACACACGCACACACGCGCACACACACACACACACACACACACACACACACACACACACACACACACACTACTACTACTACTACTACTGTGATATCTGAGCAAGCGTTGTACAAACGCGTCATAAGTTGTTATCTTATTACTTACGTTGCCTGCATGCATATGCGCATGCCTGTTGTTTTGTTGTCTTGTCTTGCTCTGAACGAGGGATAGACAAGTCTTGAGTTTTCCCTATCTGACAAGTGTGTCTTGGTCTTGTGTAGTGCCTGGGTTGCATGTAACAATTTGGCGACGAAGACAACGTCCTGCGCGATGGAGGGAGATCGTGACCGTCTTCCACCATTCGACACGTCCGGACCCCCATCTCAAGTGGCTCTGAGGTGGACAAAATGGGTTCGAGCCTTTGACTATTATCTGACGGGAAAGGACATTACGAACAAGAAGCGTTCAAAAGCACTGCTCTTGCACTTCGCGGGTCTAGAAGTTCAGGATTTATTCGAGGACCTATCCGACCCAGATGACAGCCTTTACAGAACGAGAAGAACTGCGCATAGACACGACAGGACTAGAACCCCTAGACTGGTTAGAAGTAGATTCAGGAACAGATAAATCAGCATTCTCACGGATCTCATCATGTACAATTGAGCCAGGCAGTGACATAGACTCATTCGGCATCGCTGGTAAGATGCTCTTCATTATTGTCGATAGTCATAGTAAATTTATTGAAGCACATGTTTGCTCTGGCTCATCTGCTGCTGTCGCAATTCGCAAGCTGGAGCAGACCTTTGCTCTGCTTGGCTTACCTTATAATATTGTTTCCGACAATGGCCCTGCTTTTGCAAGTAGTGAATTTCGTGAGTTTTGCTCATCTAATGGCATACGTCATACTCTCGTTTCACCATATCATCCGTCTAGTAATGGCTTAGCCGAGCGCGCAGTATAGACGGTGAAGTCTGGCTTGGCCAAGATGTCTGGCCCTGATTTGGAAACCCGCCTTGCTAGGTTCCTGTTCCAATACAGAATGACGCCGCAGTCAACAACGGGTCGTTCTCCGTTTGAGCTACTTTGGAAGGAACATCGTCCCCGCTCACGTCTGGATCTCCTGTTCCCGGACAGCGGCAAGAAAGTCTTGGACAAACAGTGCACTGCCCATGATCGTGGTGGTGCAAATGCATACCAGTTCTATTGTGGTGATGCCGTCTGGGCAATGAATTTCAACTCCTCACCGAAGTGGATAGCTGGCACCGTGGAAGAACAGCTTGGTCCTCTAACATTCACGGTTCGTCTTGTTGATAACAGAGTCTGGAAGCGTCACTCTGACCACCTGAAGAAACGCCTTCGTCATACTCTCGTTTCACCATATCATCCGTCTAGTAATGGCTTAGCCGAGCGCGCAGTATAGACGGTGAAGTCTGGCTTGGCCAAGATGTCTGGCCCTGATTTGGAAACCCGCCTTGCTAGGTTCCTGTTCCAATACAGAATGACGCCGCAGTCAACAACGGGTCGTTCTCCGTTTGAGCTACTTTGGAAGGAACATCGTCCCCGCTCACGTCTGGATCTCCTGTTCCCGGACAGCGGCAAGAAAGTCTTGGACAAACAGTGCACTGCCCATGATCGTGGTGGTGCAAATGCATACCAGTTCTATTGTGGTGATGCCGTCTGGGCAATGAATTTCAACTCCTCACCGAAGTGGATAGCTGGCACCGTGGAAGAACAGCTTGGTCCTCTAACATTCACGGTTCGTCTTGTTGATAACAGAGTCTGGAAGCGTCACTCTGACCACCTGAAGAAACGCCTTCCTGCTGAGTCGGTGCAAGATGCTTCAACTGCTACGTCAGCACCACAGCTTCCATATTCCAGAGCTTTACCTTCTACCACAGCTCTACCGTCTTCAACTGCTCTACCTACTGTTCCGCCGAATGAGTCGATCCGTGAGAATGCTGATTTATCTGTTCCTGAATCTACTTCTAACCAGTCTAGGGGTTCTAGTCCTGTCGTGTCTATGCGCAGTTCTTCTCGTTCTGTAAAGGCTCCTGTCCGCCTTGATCTGTAGTTCGCCTTATCAGATTATTTGCTGCCACGACACAGTCTATGTATTTCTGTTATTCTGGTCGTTTCCATCTGATGGTGGATGGATGTGACATCTGAGCAAGCGTTGTACAAACGCGTCATAAGTTGTTATCTTATTACTTACGTTGCCTGCATGCATATGCGCATGCCTGTTGTTTTGTTGTCTTGTCTTGCTCTGAACGAGGGATAGACAAGTCTTGAGTTTTCCCTATCTGACAAGTGTGTCTTGGTCTTGTGTAGTGCCTGGGTTGCATGTAACACTACTACTACTACTATGTGCAACTGCCACAAAATGGCCACGTTGCTCCCAGAAGCGGGAGACAACAGCGCGAAAGGAAAAGAAACAAGGAGAGTAATTGAGGTGAAAGGGGACCGTTCTACACACAGCTAGTGTTTCTGTCTTTGGTGGCGGGTGAGGTCCTGCGGGCGGGAGAATTGTTCGCTACATAGGCTGCATTGAATGGGCAGATTAGTCCTCTGGTCCTTTCGCAGTCGTTTGCCTCGAGTACAATTATGGCGGTTAAAACCAGCCTGACTCTTCATGCAGCGATCACAGGTCGAGCAATGGTGCTCGCAGCAGTCCAAATTCAGGCTGCACACACACACACACACACACACACACACACACACACACACACACACACACACACACACACACACACACACACACACACACACACAAGCACCGCGGCGGTGAAATTTCGTGAAATATATGAGCCAGGGACTATAGAAACCGCCCTACGACGTTTGATATCAAAATCAAGTTATGACGTTTCAAAGTCACGCGACTCAAAGTTACGCGAAGCGCAGAACTCGTCACTTTTGTTTTGAAAAGACTCAAGTAAGAGCTGTCCTCTTGTTAGGTGTTCGGGGAAGGATTCCGAGCTCGAGCGATTGTCGAGTAACTCATGAGGCTCCACTTACTGTGATTGATTATGGCAACAACATCTAGTAGACGACGCAGCTCGATTCTGTGTGGAGTCGACTAGTCCCTGATGCGAAGGCGCTTGAATCGGACGACGAGAATTTTTACGGATTCAGCGCTGGCACCCGCGAGTCGTCCGCGAGCGATTCCGACGCCGATGCTGACAGCGACGGCGATGATATGCCACCCAGAAGGAGAAGAAGACGTATGGAGTCACAGCAAGCTCGAGTGCTGCTAGTGTTGTGTCGAAAACGCCAAGCCCCGACAGCTCGGAAATTTCAAACGCGGAGAGTGACACCGACTACTCGGAATCGGATGACGAACCAGATACCCCTGCACCTGAGTCACCGACGACGGAGCAGGTGAAGCGTGGTCTCCTCGGACATACGCGATGGGATTGAGAGAGGCTGTGGATGCAAGTTGAAGAATCATTGGAAAGTCATCCCAGAGCAGCAGCTCGAGGACTACATATTTGAAGTCTCTAAACTGCGAGAATCGAAAAAGCGCTTCAACAGTTCAAGCAGTTTGTTCTGGGCGCACTGACTGGAAGCATGCGAAAGTCGATGACTGGCGGTGGTGAACGACCTTTCTATTTCCGCTATCATGTACGTGGTTACGAGCTGTGCAAAGACGTGTTCATGGCAGTTCCTGCTGTTGGAAGTCATGTAATGAAGCGCCTTCAAAAAAAGCAAACAAAGAAGTCGTTCAACTGGCACAACATGGCTTGACTGGGAGAACACCAGAGCACTTGGCCATTTCAGCAGACATGGAGCAGGATGTAGTGCAGTTTATTTAGTCATAATTATGCTAAAATGTACGGTCTACGTCAACCTGCAGCGGAGCGAGGTCGTGCTGAGGACCCTCCAGTATACTTACCAGCATCCGAGAACAAGAAGTCTGCATACAACATCTACACCAAGACCGTCACACAGTATTCGCCTGTTCATTACAGGTCATTTTGCCACATTTGGAGGAGACAGGCAGCACATATCAAAGTGATGAAGCCAAGGACAGACGTATGCGCATTGTGTCACAATTTGTGTGACAATCTGCCGACTCTGGAATGGCCTGCCCGACTGTATGAAGTCCATAGTATCTGTCCGTGAATTCAAACGCATGCTACGCGTATTTTACTTCGGTTAAATGAAATGGCTTTCGTAACCTGCTGATGAGGCTCGATAGAATCATGCTACGATGACCCGGCTTGTAAATTTGAGATCCATTTTTTTCTGCTCGTCTTGACCCTGCCTCCCCTCATTGCTACTTCCATTTTCGTATTTTTATTTTCATTTATTTTCTCTTCATTTCTGACTCTTCTTACTGGTTGTCATCGCTTCCATAATATTGGGCAGAACTGCCCGTTTGCCTTGCGATGTAAAATAAATAAACAACAACAACAACAACAACAACAATCTGCGGTACAAAATTCGTGTCGCCCGTACAGAGGAAGAGACGGAATGTAGTGTCCAGGCGCTGCGTTCGCACACATCGCTAGCACAAGAGGAGCAGCAGTACTACCGAGATTTAGTGGACGGCGCGCAGGCATCACTGGATGAAGCTGAGGGCATAGTTCACTATACATTTGAACTGCCTAACTAGCAAGAATGAAGATATACAAAGAACATTACATACTGTGTACATAAATTTGCTCTATATCGCTCAATTGATATGCCATTATTAAATAGGTGGTTAGGCACATTTTACCATCGCAGATCAACTTGAAATTTTGTTTGAGCACATTACCATACCATACCAACATTTTGAGAGAAAAAATTTTTTTTCTCCAAAAAGTGTCATAGGGTGGTTTCTGTAGTCCCTGGCTCATATTTCAAAAAATGAAACCTTGTGAGGTTTAGCAACGCGAGATGACTTTTCCTTAAATTACTGTAATTTCACAAATTTTCGGTGTGCTTTATTTTCAGTACTTTCGGTGCATCTGCTTCACGCCTAAAATTTCAATACACCATACAACACAAACGCACAAAATCCAATAGGGAACTGCTTCTCTTTACCGCAAATTTCTGTTCACCTAACCTAGCCTTTTGCTCCACAGTCCGTTTCAGAAAGATTAGCAATCAGGTTTTGGTCTTAAAAAGTATGAAGATAAGGGAGATTTGGACAACAAAGTACATATAAGGGCTTGTTAGGGCACGGCAAATTTCTTCTGTTCAGGTTTCGGAACAGTTGGACCAGCCGTTAAGGAGTTACTATTTCGGCCAGGTTTCTGGCCTTTTCCCATGGTTTACAATTTGCCCTGGAAGCCAGTATCAATTTTTTTTATCAAACCCACGATTTATCCCTTCCTTTTTGGCCTTGTGGTTATGAATGCTGTCTGCTGACCATGAAGTTTGGTCACAAAACGAATTGGGACCCATGCCGCTCGTCAACATTTACAGCATTTTTGTTTCGACATGTCCACTCTGACTCCATTATCGATACGAGGAAGAACTCGTTTGTTGTAAACCAGACGTACATGACTCTATCAACGTGAGTGAGTTGTCATTTTTCCTGCTTTCGCGCGGAATATTTCTTCGAGTTCACAGTGAGTTTTTCCAGGCAGCACTCGAGTGCCCATACGGTAAGACGGCAAATTCTGCGGGCGATCGCCAGGATTGCTAATCTTTTTGAAACGGACTGTAATACCGAAAATATTGAGCACCAAGAATTTCTGAAATTAGAGTGTTTTGAGTTCTATAGTACCGTACCGGATATGCAGCTCACTCTCAAGCAGGGCGCTGTAAATTTAGTACTCCCTGACGTCAAGTGCATACCGAGGAAAAAAAGAGAACGTGACTTTTACAAATCACTGCAACTTCGCGTTTTCAAAGTTTCCAGCTTTGTTTCTGTACTCATTCCCAGACTCGAAGTTCCTTTCGAACTTTCGTGTTACTAAACGTCCCAAAGTATATACTTTCGAATTTAGTGGTCACCCCGGTACTGACGTTCGGGCGGGATACTGACTTTCGGACGAGGCTTGTTTGCAGTGGAGAAGTCATTTTTTCATGTAGATGTGCATGCTACGTGCTGCATGTACGAACTGTGCCGGTACTTATTCTTGTTTCGGGCAGTGTGTCACAAGGTGGCTGTGCCAGAGGGGCAGACCACATCATTCTAATGTGTAAGGACAATTGGAAGCCCTTGGTTGTCGCATGCACGGACAACAGAAGATTAACTTTGCCTGTTGTCTCCTTCTCTGCTCCATATTTGTGCTGTTTGTATGTAGGTCAATCTGGAACAACGGCGCACTTACATCTATCTCCCCTGGTGCATTCGCTGGCTTGCCAGAATTATCTGACATGTGAGCTTTTCCCGACAGAATACATGACCAAGTCGTTCTTTTGCATAAAATAATGTCATTATCTCTTGACGGTTTGTTTGCACGTGAAGTGTGTGGGTTGCAGTGAGGGCTTGCCCGTACCCGCGCGTGTGCATTCTCAGGAAGAGTGGGTTTCAACGACTGAAGAAAATGTTAGACAACTTCAGGTAGCTCGGGCCTACATCGCGAAAAATATCGGAGATCAAAAACCACTTTCTCTCCGATTTTGCTCAAATTTTCAGGGTTGAAGCATCATGAGGGCGAGTTGTTAACCCTTTGCCGGTCTAACTCAATGTATGTGAGGGGTGGTCACGCAAATACATGTACACACAACCAGCAATAACTCGAGAACCATGTGATGTAGGTATGGGTAAACCATATATTTTCAAAATCTGTATGCCTGAACGCTTCCAAAAAATTCAAATATGACTAGGTCCAGGCAAGGATAGGGCCCATGGTAGCCCTTCAAGCTGAGAGAAAATACAATTGCGAATGAAATACACGAATATCACAGCACGAAGGGCATACCAAGTTCGTGATGGGGCTGAAGTAGTACGATACACAATCAGGTAAGGGCTACGTCTTTACAAGAAATGTAGGCTCTCTACAATACCGCCATTGAACACCAACACCTCGCTATCGGCGATACGCCAGCAGCAGCAATTCCCATTCCACGATATCGCAGTTTCGGTTTGTTCATCTCAGCGCTGCTCGCGTCAGATTCACTCTCGCTCAGATGAGTACTCAGGCGCGAGCTTACGCATGCCGTGATTCTCACGGCCAGACGAATCAGCTGATCGCACCTGACGAGTCCTTGTGACAGTCGCTGTCGCCGTGTCGGCAGCAAGAAGGCTACCTCTCTGTTTGGAGAATTTTGTTTCTTCATTCGTGGACGATATATTTTTGAACTAGCAGGACTCAACGGAGCTCTTTTTCTCAACACACTACACTGCAAAACTTCCTGGGAGATCGAGCCTCAACTGGTGATGTTACTGCTCTCAGAACGCTTGTCAAACACGGCCCCAAGAGATGCACTCGCATTCTTGAAATGCGCGCGTGGCGGATGGTCGTCTTTTCCAATTTCAACAAACTTCAGTCGATCGATACGGCAAAAATTTGTATGGTAAGCATGGTTGTTTTGCACATCGTCAGAAAGCCTTGGACCTCAGCTACGCGTAGAGCGCCATTTTAGCTGTCTCCTAGCAACAAGACCCCAAAAAATGAGGGCATAACGTACCGATACTATAGTATCGGTACTCTTATGGTAGACCGGTAAAGGGTTAATCCCAAAATGTGGCTAGTGTGTAAAGAATCCTTCCCTGTATTGGGGGCCTGTGAAAGACACACCCATACGTTCGCATTTACGTCGCGAAATAAGAGAAAAACCTACTTTTACAAACAGGAGTTCGCTTTTCATTGGTTTCTATGAGGCCGGCTTGTACTAAACTATGGTACAAGTGCATTTCTATTCTTTTTCTTGAATTCAGGACCACTATAATCACACATTGTTGAGGCAAATACACTGGAATCAATTACGAGAGACGATCATTTCTTCGCATATTTCTGCAAACAGTGGGCAAAGGAGTCCAATGACCTAGCATCATTTTGACAAACCTTTATGACACTGACGCAGTGCTATGCAAATAGCAAGAAAAACTCAATCATTTTCGGGCCAATTTTGCATTTTTTAAATATTTCAAAGCATTTTGGAACCATACCGAATCGGGGTTCGGAATTCCTGTTTCGTCTCCTCACACAGAAGCCTGTTCTTTCAACCAGTGTTTTTTTGCTGATAAATCTTCCCTGACATGTTCTGATACTATGGGAATCGCTGACATGATTGCAAGAAGCAACAGATGAAGGTTGGAAGCATTTATTGTCCTCAATGTAAACCTGTCTCTTTCGTAGAGAACACCTTGTTCGGGCTACTTCGAGGGGCCATAACCCCTCCAAAGTGCCCAATTACATACCCTAATATATTGATTTTCTCATTCTGGACACCCATAGCATTGCAAAAAAGGTGTTAAACTGGTGAATTTTCGGAAAAGGAGTATTTGGGCGTGAGCTACCTTAAAGCCCTTGGTTGTCGCACGCACGGACAACAGAAGACTAACTTTGCCTGCTGTCTCCTTCTCTACTCTGCGGGCCATATTTGTGCTGCGTTTGTGTGTAGGTCAATCTGGTCCAACGACGTACTTACATCTATCTCCCCTGGTGCCTTCGCTGGCTTGCAAAAACTAAAAGAGATGTGAGCTTCTCCTGGCTAAATACATGACCACGGTGTTCTTTTGTGTAGAATAAATTCATTATTATTCTCTTGGTGGGTTTGTGCATCAAAACCTGGATTAAGCGACCATCCCACCATGCAAGCAAAGCGGTCTTTAAACCCAGGTGGTGGTCTTTAGAGCCAGTTCTCATACATTCGTCGCATATGATTGAGGCCCGACTTTGGAGGTGGGGCGGCCATAGAAGGTGGGGGGGGGCCCGGGGGTCCTCCCCGGGAAAAAATTTCAAAAATTGAAGCCAATTGCAAGCATTTCCGGGTATTTCGTGCCATTTCAGTGTACGGTAACTACAATGAAAGTCTTTTTGATTCTGCAACAAACGAAGAAGACGCTACGATTGGGTATAAACATTACCCTCCCCCGGGAAAAAATTCAAAAATTGAAGCCAATTGCAAGCATTTCCAGGCATTTGGTGCCATTTCAGTGTAACCGCAATGAAAGACTTTTTCTGCAACAAACCACGATTGGGGACAAGGATTTGTCACGTTTGCGCTAACCTGCGATCATTGTGCATTGTTGTAGTGTGCTAAAAAAATTAAAAAAACGGCCGAAAAAGTGGGCTGTGACGGCCTTGTGATTGCGCACATACCTGTGCATAATTGTACTTCCATGTACATGTGGAATCCTGATAATTCGAATATGGCTTAATTCGAATATACTGCTTAATTAGAAGTTTTTCCAGGACCGATTTCTATCAATACGATTCCCACATACCGTAAAATCCCGCCAGAGCGCCCCGTCTCTCCTATCCGCCCCTCCCTGACTTCTTGTCAGGGACGGGATTTCTCGTATCTCTGTCGCAGTCTGTGATGCCGCACTGTCCTGCAGACGCGTGCTCGACCCCGTTGGAAATGTACGCAACAGTGCCCACCCTCTTGTCCAGGGATCGCACAAACCCTGAGTTTTGACGGGTCTGTACGACTCGTGGCTCTTGACCTTTGGTCGGTGTACGAGATGCACGAACAGTTTTCGTAGGGTGAGTACTTTTTCATGTAGCACTCAATGCGGCAAGTAGGACTCGCCCATCCGCCCCTCCCCACCTGAAGCGTCGAGGAGGTAGGGGCGCTCTGGCGGGATTTTACGGTACATTTTTCTGATAATTCGAACCTCGAACTGGACATGTCCGGTTAATTAGAAGCTCCACGAATTCCATTTACAGTACATAGAAAATGTGTGGGATTCGTGCTTATCATTCATTCGAAGTTAGCAAAGTGTAATTCGAAGTTCACTGTACGCTGTACTGGTCAGTTCAGTTTGCATGAGCAGGCTGTGCCGGTCAGTTCAGTATCCATGAAATCGGTGTCTATGGTCCATAGCACAACTCTGCGTGACCATGAGAGCCTTTTTCGATATACATATTGTGTTGCGGGTTCATGTTTGGATAATTAGAATGTCCAGATGATTAGAAGTTTTTTTCCTGTCATTTTGAGGTTTGATTATCAGGATTCCACCTGTACTCATATTGACAGGTGTGAAGCATAGAATACTTTCATGCAGGCAAAGAACACCTCACTCAAGTGCATGCAGCGCATCCTGCACTGTCACGTGTCACTTCTGTTCACTGCATGCGCTTGCTTCAGAGTGCACTTCAACCCTGCCAGTCGAGATGGCACATTTGGTTAGTTTTGGTCGCTGTGTGCAGGCCCAATATGGCACTTGGTACACGAAAAGTCGGTCGCTGGTCGCGCAAGGCAGGTGGTCGCTGTATCCGGTGCAGTTTCGGTGTAGAACTGTCCGCTCGTGGACAACGGGCGTTAAAAGCAGGCGATCACTAAAACCAGGTTTTGCTGTACATGAAGTGTGTGGATTACAGTGAGGGCTGCGTCCCACCCGCCTGTGTGGATTCACAGACGTGTCAGAAGAAGAGTGTTTTGCAGTGGAGAGGCCATCGAGTGTGTGTATTACAGTGAGGGCTGCGTCCAACCCGCCTGTGTGGATTCATAGACGTGTCAGAAGAAGAGTGTACAGGTTGATTGGTGTCTCCGGGCTAGGGCCTCTTTTGCAGAAGGCAATGGGCGCGTCCGATTACACACATTGCAACCAATTCTAGAGTTAGCTATGGTGGACGCACCGTTCGATTTCACAAACTCCGCCGTCTGAATCAGCGGAATCCAATTCCGTCAATCCTGAAGAGAGGGCGGAATTTCTAAAATTCTCAAACCCGAATTGCGCACTCGACGTACACGGCATGCTAGGTTCACGTGCGCGTGCACGAGGGCGTACGGGATCCCACATGATTCACTTTTACGATTTCCACGTGTGGTCGTTCGTTTATTTGCTGCGGTCCGTTCACTCTGTTCATTTTGAGAATCATAAAACCCGGGTCCAGAATATGGAATCGAAAGCGCCCAATGTGATCTTGTTGCGGTGGCAGAGACCGGGGAAATGTGCACAAACTGATAGTCTGCTCGCTCGCCGACTCACAACACAAAGGGAAGAAAAATTCTGTTGTCCGCTGCGGCGACCACCTTTGCTGTGACCAGACCATGCATCAACATACATTCTGACCGGTGTAGAAAGACCACCTGTATTGAGAGACCTCTCATCTCAGGACCCAGACCATGCTTCGACATACATTCTGACCTGTGTAGAAAGACCACCTGTATTGAGAGACCACTCATCTCAGGATCCAGACCATGCATCAACATACATTCTGACCTGTGTAGAAAGACCACCTGTATTGAGGGACCGCTCATCTCAGGACCCCGACCATGCATCAACATACATTCTGACCCGTGTAGAAAGACCACCTGTATAGGGCTTGAAAGTGCTACGTCACAGCATACTGAGCATAGCAACAATTTCAAAAATTCAAAAACTGGATCCACTTGGATCCAGTTTTGTATGGACATTTCAAGCCGTCTTACTCACAGCAAGATGATGTAGCCAGTGAAACTGACTGATTTGGCTACTGGGGGCGGGGTGACAACTGGTGATGAAGTAAAAGTCACACCTGTATGCGACATGAGTGGGTTGCTATGCACCCACATACTGAGGCAATAGCAAAGTCACACCTTAGTGGGTCCGAAATAGAATTCTGATGTCAGCTTACTACTCCCTGGCCGTTTTTGACGGCATCACTTTCAAGCCCTATTGACAGATCTCTCATCTCAGGACCCAGACCATGCATCAACATAAATTCTGACCTGCATAGAAAGACCACCTGTATTGAGAGACAACTGCGACACTGTACCATGTGATGTGAGTTTTTGCTGTCGGCGTACCCCATAGAAAGAGTATCAGGAGTTGCACACTCTTGGGGGTTATATACTCTTGCTTATAATTATCATAAAAGAGCCGATTTGCGCATTGAGGCCCTCTCTGACTTCATGTTATGTCGTTGATATTGATGGAAATCATTGATGGAAATCCTGCAAAACCTCCTGCAGGACACTTGCTTATGTTACCCCCATGCAATGTACGCAGTCAAAATGCTTCTCATCAAAAGACTGACCAAACGGCTTCATAATAAAGTGTTACTATCCAAATGCGTAAAGTTCGTCAAAATGGCATACCGTAGAATCCCGCGGATAAACCCATGGGCTAATCTGTTTGACAAGGACACTTCGGTGGGCTTATACGAGAACATGGGCTTATACGAGAACATGGGCTTATATGCAGGCATGGGCTTATACGCCGACACCGACATTGTGCCATTGAAAAGTACCAAGGAAGTGAGAAGTACATTGCTGGAAGCCACTGTGCAAACAAAAACAACCGATGATTGTGTTGAAATGCACACAAAAAACCCTGGACTATGTACATGTACATGGCACGACCAAGAGTCCATAATTTATGGACTCTTGGTCCGATTTAGGCCCATGGGCTTGTACGACGAAGCCTTGTGAAGTTGTGACGTTCGAACTTTCCCTGGGCTTATGTGCGAGCATGGGCTTATACGCGGGTGGGCTTATACGCGGGATTCTACGGTATTTTGAAGTCCCATAACTTCCTAAATATTAAATATTAAATATTAATTATATTAACGGTAAGTGGCCATGTTTTGGTATTTCATTTATACATACCCGACAGAAGACATTGACGTCTTTGGCTGAAGAAACTTTCGGGCCAATTTTCCTTCTTCGATTTATCACTTCCAGCTCCCTTAGATTCAACAAGATGTTTTCTAGCATTCAACCCGGCGTGTTTGACGGTTTATCTCTGCTAGGTCATCTGTAAGTGACACATACACATATTGCGTGCATCTCTCTCTCTCCCCCTTGTGTTTCATGGAGGTGTGAATATGTCTGTACTTGCGAGTCATCATTTTATTGACTTGCCACGCACAGCGCCTGCCTGCTGTGACTTTTCTTGTACTGTTGTTCTTTTGTCGACTGCTTTTGTTCTTCTTCCGAAACCTTCAAAAGCCTCCTTGTTCTGTGTTCTCACTGAGTATTGTGTACGGTCAATCCCCAAACCTTAGTGACACATAAACCTGTAATAGTGAATTTAGCGAATCAGTCAAATTCGCTAAAGTTAGGACTCGCGAATTAACTTTTTTAATTATTTTTTTAAGGATCGGTACCATCACATACTTGTGCATATACTTATGTCTGTGTTACTGTGTAGTAAATCAGTGTGCTAGTGCCTTTCTTCTCAGCTTTTTTTTCTTTTGTGCCAGTACACATAGGGTGCTGTAAAGTGAGAAGCTTTTGCTAGAGATTAAATTTCGCTATTCTCGCGACCGTCACACATTCGCGAATATGAATCGCCGCAAACCTCTCGCTACATCGATTGTAAACAGTACAAAATCCGACTGAAGAGAAAGAAACGCAAAAGTTTCTCATCGTGAACCAGCCCAATTTATGAAAACGCTAAATGTGGGTGCCGCAAAAGTTTGTCGTTTCACAGTAGTTATATTCCATCTGTTCGCATTACCCAAAAAGCGGCTGCCACCTGAATTCTTCTTTCACTAAAATTTATAGTCGCTGAAACGTTGACAGCATAATAATTATCGCTTTTAGTCTACCGTATTATCTCTAATACAAGCACAGTCTCCGATAATAGAACACCTTGGGGCGGCATTCAAAAAATAACGTGCTCAGTCTCCAATATATGCACACTGTCTATCGGTACCTGGTAAAATGCATGTACGGTATTATCTCTTATGCAGTACCGGCGAAAAAATCCTGAAATGTGTGTGTCTGACATGAATTTGGCGTGGCAAAAAATGAGGTTGAAATAATAATGGAACAGTCTCCAATAAAGGAACGTCTCCATTAATAGCACGGGGCGGAGGTACATTGAAAAAATAAAGGACCGTGCTTATATTAGAGATAACACAGTAATTATATTGGTCGCCAAAGTTTAGGAGTTAACAGTAAACTATAATATTTTGTCGACGAAGATGGGTGTGAATGTCTCTATACCAGGTGGGAGTCCCTGACCGGGAGGGTCCAGGCCAGCTACGCCCTACGGATGTGTCAGTTCACGGGCACTGGGCACGCCGTGATCACTACGGCATTGTCCGTGCCGCTCTTTGCCCCCCCCCCCCCCCCCCGGTACCCATCGTATCAATCGAACGCACTGCGCTGGGCTCTAGAATCCGAAAACCTTTCAGCAGAGCCGCCTCCTCACAGCAAGTGAATTTACCCGCTACTTGTATATCGGATGGCTGACCATACCACCCTTTAAAACACCTTCGGATACCGTGGTTCACCCTGCTGTGAAGCAAAACCAGTCACACGAGTATTGTTCCATGCAAAGAACTGGATCCAAAAAAGTTCACGGTTCGCGTCAGACTCGGCTGTAGGCCGAGTTATCCGCATCCGTAGGAATGCCACCACCCTTCAAGGATCAAGGCGCAGATGCCGCTCCTAAAGCTGGATCCAAGTGGATCTGAAAATCAGCAAAGGTATTGATGATTCTTGACTAGTTTGAGGGAAAGATTGATGATTCCGGGCTGGCTCTGACGTAGCACTCCCAAGCCCTATTATGATTAGGGGTGTCGTCGGGTAGTGGGGTACTCATGCTACCCTTAATTAGAGCGGGTATTCAGGTAGCAGTTTGCTCCAGAGAATCCGATCGGAGAATTGGAGTACGGTGTCTCGCAACGGTGCGTGTAGAAAGCACTTGAAGTTTTATTTGTCATCCCTGAAACGAACCTGGTTCATTTCGTACTCGGACCCCTTCCCTCTCTCTGAAATGAACACGGCTTGCTATGCTGGACGACGAAAATCGCATGCATGTACATGTCATATGTACAGTGTTGGTAGGCTTGCGATTTTGGCTCGCACCCACCCCCTCCCAAACGAATGACGTTCGTTTCAGGGACGACAAACAACTTTTGCGATGACATCTTACTGCATACGGTAAAACGTGTAATTTTAGGTGCATCAAAATTTCGGTGCCAGGGACCTGCCAGGTTTCAGGTGTAATTTAGAATTAGGTGACCAACATTCCCTTCACATACAGTGTGTACTCTGGTGTCTTTTAGGTGTAATCTAAATTTAGGTGCTGGTTTTCACTACCGAAATCACCGAAATTGAAGTTACACCGAAAATATCGTGTTTTACTGAATACCTTCTCTGTAGCACAAGTGAACACTCACTGTACAAACTATGTCAAAAAATACCCGAGAGGGTACCTGTGCTACCCGGATAGAAATACCCGAACTCGTTACCCGACCAAACTCCTAACCGTTGCAGCACAAATATTATTATGAGTGTCTTCTTCCGGAATTCTCTTCATTTTCTGATGAGCCACCTTTTTTTCTTAGAAGAGTGTTGGCATGGGCTCATTTGGAATGAAGTGTCTCTTCTGACCTCTTCCACTTATTTTGGGGAGAGGGCTGGGTATGCTGTATTCCTCTCTCTCTCTCTCTCTCTCTCTCTCTCTCTCTCTCTCTCTCTCTCTCTCTCTCTCTCTCTCTCTCTCTCTCTCTCTCTCTCTCTCTCTCTCTCTCTCTCTCTCTCTCTCTCTCTCTCTCTCTCTTTCTCTCTCTCTTTCTCTCTCTCTCTCTCTCTCTCTCTCTCTCTCTCTCTCTCTCTCTCTCTCTCTGTCTCTCTCTCTCTCTCTCTGTCTCTCTCTCTCTCTCTCTCTCTCTCTCTCTCTCTCTCACCAAATGTATTCTCTTTTGTCATACATGTGTTCTTGCCTTTTGTCTTTTCCGTTTGCCAGAACACTGACTTATAACAACTTAACTAGCTTGCCGGCAAAGAGTTTTCTCAACCTACCCAAGCTCACGCTCATGTAAGTCGGCTGAGATCTTTCTCTACGGGTGATAAAGGTGTACTTGTACCGTGGTGCTCAGTGAATTTCATTGCCTACAGTCCATTTCAAAACATTGACGATCCTGGGCGATCGCCTGGGGAGTTTGCCGTCTTACTGTACGCGGTGCCTGGAAAACTCGCTGTGAATTCAAAAAATATTCCGCGCGAAAGCATGGAAAACTGTGACAGCTCACACACGCAGGTACTGTAAAGTCCCGTCAGAGCGCCCCGTCTCGCGAGAGCACCCCACCTTGATTTTACTGCCAAGGGAAGAAAATCGTATGGCAGAATGCTACTAAGTTTGTACGGTGTGAGAACCTTAGTGTACTAAGGTCACACTTGGCATGTTTTTATGTGGAGCTCGCGTCCGCTCGAAGGTAAACTGGGTACGGATTGACTGCACAACGTGCGATGTGTGAACAAGGTCAGTGTCGACCTACAAACAGGAAACCACCTCCACAAGACGACCACGAAAGGACGAGATGCTGGGCGCTCTGGCGGTACTTTGCGGTACTTGGTCCGCGTCAGCAATATTGTCGCATATCTTTCGACAATTTGAACTTATACTTTGGACATCAACGCGTGCACTTGAGACGATAAAACTTGGTATGATGGAATGATGGGTACGGAATGACAACTGACCATGAGGAATTTATTGTCCAAGGAAGGGTTCATACTTTTTTGGTCCTCCTCGTTGCTGCTCTCGGCGCTGGTGACAAATATTTTTTGCTCGGGATCGACACTCTCGCTTTCGTAAGCTCATCTCTCTTCCTCTCCACTGCCTGGCTATTTTCTAAAGGGAAGTCGACCGTGACGGTCGCCTTCTCTATAGGACTTCGCGTGGGCAGCACGACTGCCTGTGTGGTTCAAATCAGTCGCCGTTCTTTGCAAGATTTATTTTGAACAATGAGGACTGCTACTGTGCTTGCAAATCTCCACGATGCGCTGGATACTCCGAGCGTTGAGCTGGAGGTGAGGGAGGGAACTGCGATCTCAGCTTGGCGAGCGATCCCTGAGGTGAGCGATCTCGACCGTTTTGCAAAATGGAACTGATTCCGAGTAGCCGATTACTTTCTTGTGCGTCGCGCTGCTCTTGCCTGCGCAGTGTGACAAGACAATATTATATTTTGATGTATCAATCAGAATCACCCACCAGTCGCTCTTGAAATCCACTCGAAATCTAGCTAGACCTTTCAGGTACTAGTAAACTAACTTACTAACCAAAATTGGGATGAAATGAGCTGCCAAGTGAGCATTGGCGATAGAAAGGCAAAGCTGAAAGATAAGCGACAATATTGCTGACGCGGATCAAGTACATGTCCGTCTGTTTACAACAAACAACTTTTATACTTCTTGCTCGTAATCGCATCGATATAGAACCACACAGGACAAGTCGAAACCATGGTAAATGTTAAAGCGCAACATGTGTCGTGACCAAAATAGTTTCTTTGACCTGTGTCCGTGCGATGCAATGTATTCTTACCATGTGACGAAAACGACATGGACACGGAATCATTCTCCAGGCCATGACTTGGCAACGCCACCAATCCATGTTACTTTGGCGACATTCTGAGAATAGCAGACGCCTGTGGAAGCTGATAGAAGACTTCGCCAACTCCTATATTAATATATTAACCCTTTATTACCGGATTACTTGCACAGCATGCACCAGAATTACGAATTTCAGCACAATTTCCAACTTCACCAGGTCATAACTTTGGTCTCCTTCACTTGATTTTCACAATCTAGGGCTCGTTGGAAAGCTCTTGGCGAGAGCAACGCCAGGGTACCAAGCTCCATTATCCAGTCGCCACAAATCAGGCGCGGTAACACAGCAAAGTCGTCTCCAAGCCTGATATGCAAGCAAATTCGTCCCATCAACGCCATTCCACTCTCCTTCATCGCAGAACGCTCAAATTTGTTTGAGACGATTCAAACTTCAGCCGACTACGTCATTATCATGTGCTGAGTCGCTCAAAGAGCACACGAAAAGGGATTTTCCCCAAAAACGGCGAAGTGATCGATCAAAAATTTGAATTTGCCGAGATGAAAATACGGCGCGCGATATCTCAGGCGTCCGACATCGTAACTCTTCGGCGATTGTTGCATTGGATAGCTTGGAGTTTCTGCTACCAAATAGACCTTTCGATTGTTGAAATCGCACAAGAAATGATGGAGTTACGAAGATATTACTGGCCTACAGACTTTCGATCATATATGATCGAAAGTCTGCAGGCCGGTAATAAAGGGTTAAATTTCGAAGGAAACACATCGTACTAATACGAAAAAACGCTGACCGGTTGGCAGCTAGCAATGAGTTTTCAACCGGCCATCTGTAATTTTAACCGGTCAAAAGGCGGTTAGGGCGGGTCTGGTAGAATCACTGATCGTGCGCAGGATGCAGAAACAATGTACGGTTTTGTCACGTGATGTGAAATTCTGCCGTCGCTAGTGTCAGCCCAACTTTGCTCGAGACTTTTCGATAATCATCATGTCGCATACTTTTGCTGCACTTCTTTCGATATTATGCTTGGCATTTCCGGGCGGAGACGATATTTTGCTCTAATTATGCTCAATGGCAGCTTCAAAAACGCCTGATTTGGACCAAATTTGGGAGAAAAACCTCGATAGTTTGCTCCGTTTTGCTGGGTTCACATTTCAATGCGTGAAGATTGACCTCACAACGCTCATCACCAAGCTGCCGAACAAAGTAATTTTGTTGCGAGCATGGACATATTTTTTATTGACACTGTTGACAGATGCGTCGACTCTGCTCCTGTCTAACAGGTTCAGGGAAGATGCGAGCTGTGTTTATTATTATTATGGACATAGTACAACACACACATGTACCTCTGGCGCTGGACATGAGACTTCGAGTATCTGCAAAATCACGATGAAAATCTCCAAAAAATTCGAAATTATGGTGCAAAATATGCCGGGTAATTCTTTTTCTAAAAGGTTCGATATAATGCCAAAAGAATTGCTGGCAAATTTGGGCTGACACTAGCCGTCGCATACCCGCCAGACTAAAGCAGTACACTCTTGGGGTAGTAAAGAGTGCATCCCCGTGTTCGCAGCTCTAGGGTTGCAGGCCCAGTGCAGCCCAGCATTTGCAGATCCAAGGCTGCACTGCACCTGGCGCGTACTTGCGTGACACGGCTGCATTTCATTGTGCAGTACAGCACAAAGGTGCATCTTTACGCGTGGTCAAGTCTGGAAGGAAAATCAAATCTCGCTCTATCCCGGAACTTCTCTCTCTGTCTCTCTTTCTTTCCGTCTCTCTCTGCCTTGCTGTCCCCTCTCTCTCTCTCTCTCTCTCTCTCTCTCTCTCTCTCTCTCTCTCTCTCTCTCTCTCTCTCTCTCTCTCTCTCTCTCTCTCTCTCTCTCTCTCTCTCTCTCTCTCTCTCTCTCTCTCTCTCTCTCTCTCTCTCTCTCTCTCACACACACACACTGTCTTGCTGTTTCTGTGTGTGTGTGTGTGTCTCTCTCTCTCTCTGTCTCTCTCTCTGTCTCTGTCTCACTCTGTCTCTCTCTCACTCACTCACTCTCTCTCTGTCTCTGTCTCTCTCTCTCTCTCTCAATATGGACGGCATTTATTGGGGAGACGAGAGAGAGAGAGAGAGAGAGAGAGAGAGAGAGAGAGAGAGAGAGAGAGAGAGAGAGAGAGAGAGAGAGAGAAAGAGAGAGAGAAAGAGAGAGAGAGAGAGCGCTAGATAAAGGGCCTGGGTAGCCAAGGCAAATATGGACACGCAAGTAGCTACCCAGGCCAACGGAGCAAAAGGTGCCGTATGGGTTGCAGGCCAGCTGGCCCAAGGATGCATGGGACTGGTATCCTTACGTGTATATCTAACCATTATCTACTGTATTTTCCCTTGCCTTACTGGTGCACAGAAGCCTGGACCATAATTCCATCGCGCACATAGACAGCAGTGCATTTGGTAACGTGCCCATACTTTCCACAGTGTAAGAAGAGTGTGTAGAGATGTTTGCTGGTGCTTTGGGTTGTTGCTGTTGTTACTGCTTTGAAGTCTTGTATCCTTGCGATTTCCTAAGACCAATAAGAGAAGAAGAAAGGCAGGTACGTGGATCGAATTAAAAAAATAAACACAACAAAAGTTGGCTGTGTGCTAAAATAATGACTGCCGTATGTCCGCTCATGCCGTTAATCCAGCCAAATTGCCCCGTCTCTCCTATGCGCCCCTCCCTGACTTCTTGTCAGGGTAGTGATCACGATTGTATTATCGTACCGTACTTCCCCACATATAAGCCCATGGGCTTATAAGTGAAAATTTGCTACAAAAAAGATTTGTTGCTGTTCGGGTAGAAGCCCATGCGCTTATATGTACAATACAGGTTTTTCTGTGTCCTAAACAATGGTGTTATCACAATGCTTAGCAGTATATTCAGCTTCCGAGTGTTTCACCAATAGTGTTCAATTATAAGCGCATGCGCATATAATTGAGGGGTGCGCTTCTGTCCGGACATAAGCACATGCGCTTATATGTGCGGAAGTACGGTATGACCCTGTGAAGTGTGATGCCGCAATGCACTGCGGACGCTTGCTCGACCCGGTTGGAAGTGTACACAGCCGTTCATACCCTCTTGACAAGAGATTGCAAAAACAAACCCTGGGTTTTGACGGGTTAGTACGAGACACGCGCACAGTGTTTGTAGGGTGAGTGCTTGTTCATTCAGTACTGAATGCGGCAAGTAGGATTTGCTCATCCCCCCAGCTGGACCTTCTGGACGGGTCGCGGAGGTAGGTGCGCTCTGGCGGGATTTTACGACTTACTAGTACACCTGGGTATTAGTGCATCCCTCACGAATAAGTGCATGTGCTAGTGAGCGAAATATTTTGAAACAGTTTTGCCAGAATTTTCAATGCCCAAAGTTTAAAAAAATAACGATGAAATTTGGCAACTTGACACGTTGAGAAAAGGCCAATGACAGAAACCAATACAAAACCTACCTTGAGAAAAGATTGCAAAAATGCACGGAAACACTTGAGAGTCTGTTCGGTATCACTGCCAATGCTGCCGTGTCTGTGGAATTCGATGGGCAGAGTTTCCGAGCCAACGTCACTATCACGGTCACTATCACGGTCACTATGGCTGTCATATGCGTCCTCGTCGTCTGTGTTGATATCATCCGGAAGCTCGGCCTTCGAAAGCTGTTGCATTGAGGAGTGCAGGTGACCAGCGTTGTCAGATGGCGAAATGCCACGCTTGACAAAATGATGATAAAGATGTACTCTAGCTGATGATCCATCACAAGAGAATAATTCTTAGAGGAAATAGATTAGCACGCGAAGCACAGACCTCATGACCAACCTGCAAAGGGGTACCAGCAGTATACTTGCAACCGGGGTGCAACTGCCCTTTAACCGGTGTATCGAGGCCCGGAGTTTGGAGGTCGACTTCAAAACCGGGGTTGACTTACAACCGGTAAAACATGGTAGTTTCGACTAGGCCTTTCATTACTTTTCAAGTCAAACACAATGGTGATCAATTAACACAGCAGCAAGAAAGACCGTATAACCGGCTTCGGCGGTCAGAGCAATGACAAAAATAGCACCTAAGATAGCGATTGTGGCTAGTGTTGTTTTTTACCCTTTCCGTGCTAATGACGTCTATAGACTTCAAGCGCGCTGCACGCCAAACGACTAATGACGTCCATAGACGTCATGAGATTTGCGCAGTACATCGCAGTGCCTAGATCAGTGTACGCACTGTCGTATCTCCGTCAAAAATAAGTCTATCGCAACAATCGATACACCGTTGGAAAGTATGGATGCATCCTTATAAGGAGGGTTGCTTGCTGTCGAAACGTAATGGTACGAAATGCGTAGTCGAAACTATAATGGCTTCTGTGCTTGGTGTGCTGATTAGCTTCCCTCCAACCCATAAACTATAGAAAACAAGTGGAACAGGCGCTGAAGGCATTTGCCATCAATTCCCAAGGTGGTCCCATTCTACCTGCAGTTCTTGGTGCTGCAGACGGTCAAATAGATCAAGAAAGCAGGGAATGGGACGTATGCATTAATTTCCTGCCGTTAGGTTTTGCGGGGCAAGTCCACTACAACCGTACACACTGTCATACCAACTCTGCATAAAAGGTCATGAACTTTGTGAGGTCATACACATAAATGTACTATAACGGGTTGTACCTGCCAAGTACATGTATGGGGTAACTTGCCCCGCAAAAAGGTGGTGGCCATCTTAGATGCATACCTCCCATCACTGTTGATGGTACTGTTCTGTCCTCTTTTCTGGCTGGCTTGACTTCTCCTTTCAGATATCTGCATCACAACAAGCTGGCGGCGGTGACGAGTGGCATGCTTGATGGTGCTCAGTCGGTGAAAAGAGTGTAAGGCGTTCTGAATGTTTCTTATCTTTATTCTCACGGTGGCCTTTGGCCAATAAGAGATAATAATTATACAGTCAGACCTTGCCCATCCGGTCCTCTTTTATCCGGATCCCTCGCCATCCGGAAGAAAATCGTTGGTTGCCGATATACAGCATATGCCATGCATACATACAGTATGTGTGTTTGATTTTCCGGTTCCCTCATCTATCCGGATGCACTCGTGGAAAACGGATGCAGGGCCGTTGGAGGCTGTTGGTGAGTTGTTCGGCCAGGGGCCTGGGGGTGTCCTCGGCGGGGGTCAAGGGGGCAGAGTCCATTGCGGGGGTCAAGGGGGCAGAGTGCCTTGCGGAGGTCAAGGGGGCAGAGTGCCTTGCGTGGGTCAAGGGGGCAGAGTGCCTTGCGGAGGTCAAGGGGGCAGAGTGCCTTGCGGGGGTCAAGGGGGCAGAACCCCTTGTGGGGGTGGAACCAGCGTGTTAGAAAAGTTTGAGATTCCATGCAATAGAAAACAAACCTGATGCATATCTTGAACATTGTAAAGGAAGTCCAGCATTCTGATCGACGCTGGAAAAATCTCCAACTTTTCGAAACTTTTTTATTGCTTTTCTGAGCGTTTCACTTTGACCACCGGTCGCCAGAAGTGGTACCATGGTCGTACCAGTCGTGCTGACTCCAACGGCCCTGGGATGTGTGCGGTTATGCGAGGTCTGACCAGAGTGAGATTCGCGTCACATGGAGAGTTTGGAATGCTTGATTAAGAAATTTTAGTTGTTTTAGATCTTTATTCTAACGATGGCCTGTGGCCAGTAAGAGATACTATGGTGAGATTAGTATGATGCGGAATTTCATCGCTAGCAGCGGTCAAACTAGATGTACGGGTGAGCATGCCTCGCGCATGAGCAGGTTGAATTTAGCAGCAGGGTTGATATATTTTGCAAAGCTGGTGATTGAATCTCACATAACGTTGATGAGAGGCCATTGAAATAATGGAGAGATTTGTACAGAGGGGAACCCAGGCAGCGGCCGGTTCTTGCAGTTGGCAAATACCAAGTGTGAGTGTGCCGAAACCTATAGCCTGCATTGACACGATTGTTGTTGTTGCTGCTGTTGTATGTTAGTTTTGCACCTTATTGATGGTGGGAATCAAAACAGGCATAGGCCTAATAACAATGAATCCACTGGGGAAATAAAATTTATTGGACGGTGTGGAAAGGTAGAGAGATTGGAAAAGAAAACATTTTGGCACGATAACCATTACCGCAAGTATAGATATAAGCTCCCAAGAGTGTGCAACTCCTAATACCCTTTCGATGGGGTTTGCCGACGGCGAAAATCCACATCAAATTGTACAGTGTTTCCGTTGTACGGTTCCAGCCTGTTTTTGCGAGCAGCGGAGTCATATAAATAGATCCGCATACCGGTGCATGATTTTGTGTACAAACTGGTTGATGAACTTGAAGTGTCTACGAAAAGCTTCGTTGTATTTTTTACTGAATACCACAGAACCATCAGATGCGTATCCCGCTGCACGTGGCGTGTAGAAGCTTGTAGAAGCTCGAATCAGGGAGATGTACAAACAAATGAGGTCCTTGAACTGCTGGATGCATGCGGACAGCACTCAGTTGCATGCGCTTGTCATTTTTCTCGCTTGTTTGACATAATTATTGTGCACGCTAGTTGTACTGCATAGGACCCGTATACATGTATGTATGATGCCATCCCTTTTGATGTACCACATGCATTGTAATGGTATGTTTGTTCAGTTATCCGGTACCCTCGCCTATCTGGATATTGTCGTGGAAAACGGATGTGTGCTTTTAAGGTCTGACTCTACAGTCCATTCATTGGAAACTGGCACCCTAACTTGTTGGTGTCTCCCGCACATAATTGTAGATATCGTGAAAACAAAAGTGCACCCTGCATTGTGTAACCCGTGCAATTGCTCCTTGCCACATTTGAGGCCAGAAAAGTCCAAGAATAGGGAAATGGAAATTCGGCCATGTTTTACAAAATTAGGACAGGTATGTCATGGCAAAATGTATGGGGAAGCAGATGTCAAACCCAGATTTTTGAGATTTAAAGTGGGTTTTGATCCTCAATTCGGAACAAATCGGACAAAAGCCAGCGGGACTGTTTCTGATGAATGGACTGTAGCCAGGTCAAAATTGTAGGGCAGAGGCAGGAGAAACAGCTCTCCCACAACCCATTTTTCCATGTTCCAAAAGTGTCTGGCCGTGCACAAGTTAACGCAACATACAGGGGTGAACCGCTGACTTCATCCCAGACAAGTGTGCCTTTCTGGCCGCTCATAATGACTATCGACTGCATTTTCGTGTACTTCATGTGTCTTCAGGTATTTTCAATACAACAAAATCTCCTTTGTGGATCCAGCTTTTTTCAACAACCTGACGAGCTTGATATCCTTGTAAGTAATCGGGTTTCTGATTGGTTTTACAGTATTTGGAGTCTGGGGCTGAAACCGAAACGCCCTGTTCCACCAGTAGGCCCAGACAGATTCTGCTCCGCTCGCCTCGATATTTTGCCGCAAAATGTTGCTGCGAGACCTTCGATATTTTGCCGAGCCTGGCACTAGAAACTCGATACTTTGTTTTGCTCCGGAAAAACGTGTATTATAGGCTTGCCGTACAACCTTTCATAAAAATCGCAGGGTCTGTTTCTCAACACGGGTTTCCACGCACGTGTCCCTGAGTTCCTCCAAAATCTTGTCGATCCACAGTGAATCCTAGTGATATTTCGTTGACACGCGTGTGTTCCTAGTTGGAACAATCAACTTTGTGACTATTACCGCCGAAGTCGCAACTTCTAAGTTCGTATTGTCCCTCACGCGGACGTGCGACTAGTTGGTGGAGGTGACAGCGTTGCGAATAGCTATACTGGCTCTCAACGTCTGTTTAGCACAACTTCATGAGCGACTCTGACTCACACTGCTACCTGGAGCTTCACGAGGTGTTTGTCGCGCTGGAAACAAAGCGTCTCTGTAAGTTTGTATCCCTGGTGATGGTTTGGCCTGGAGAGCAGTATATAAGTGGTGCTTTTCAGGCACAATCTTCCTCAGCCTACTCAAGCTCGACTGATGAGGGGTGAATTCCCCGAAACACTGTGTATTGGGCAGGGAGTGGTGCTTTCTTGCAGGTTTGCCGAGTGGAAGGTGCGACGTGCTCGTCGTGTGCTCCGGATGGCAGTCGTGAGTCAGTCAAGTGTCAAGTTTGGCAAGAAGCGTGTGTTCCTAGTTGGAACAATCAACTTCATGACCATAACCGCCGAAGTCGTAACTTCTAAGTAAGAAATAAGAAGGTGACAAAACACATGTGGGCACAAGTGGCTACAACAACTTTGCCACACTACACAATAAACATTATTTGAACAAGTTTAGGGTAGTACCGTAAAGTACCGCCAGAGCGCCCCACCATCTCGTCCTTTCGTGGTCATCTTGTGGAGGTGGTTTCCTGTCTGTAGGTCATGCGACGCGAACCGTGTACACTTTGCGCAGTCAATGCGTACCCAGTTTACCTTCGAGCGGATGCGAGCTCCACATAGAAATATGCCAAGTGTGACCTTTGTACACTAAGGTTCTTACATCGTACAAACTTAGTAGCATTCTGCCATACTATTTTCTTCCCTTGGCTGTAAAATCAAGGTGGGGTGCTCTCACCAGACGGGGCGCTCTCGCGGTACATAACGGTAACACTTTCCTTCTGTTAGGCCACGCGCGTTTTTTTCTATGTTTCGCGTCACCTTATTCGATGAAATCAATGAGGGAGGGCGAAAAAAACGCCATCCAAAAAAAAACAGTTTACATGCATTGCATTTGTGTACAGTGCAGCGACGTGGCACTGTTCATGCACATGTACATTTACACACACATGCATTGACATACACATGCATTGACACACACATGCATACATGTACACATGCATTGACACACACATGCATTGACACACACATGCATTGACATACACATGCATTGACATACACATGCATTGACATACACATGCATTGTCACACACATGCATTGACACACACATGCATTGACACACACATGCATCGACACACACATGCATTGACACACACACATGCATACATGTACATGAATACATGAGTCTATCCCCTCTGCCATGCTTGTGGACCAAACACAGGCGGCATGATGATTGTGTGACTTGCGGCCCAGCTTATTACACATGTGTGTGAGCTGAGTACAATCATGCGATAAATAGAACAAAATTATTTAATTGATGCCAACATAATAGTTACGTGTAACAATCATGTTCCGTTTTTTTCCTTTTGGGTTACATTTTCCGGTTTCTGGGTTTGCATTAAATTTGTATTCCGTTTTCAAAAAAATTATGTTCCGTTTTGTTTTGTTTTGAACTCCGGCTGTGAAATACATGCGCGCGGGGGACGTGAAACATACCGTATTTTCCGGGGTATAAGCCGCACCGGGGTATAAGCCGCACCCCCCTTTTTGAAGCAAAATATTGACTAAAAGTTGGTATTCGGAGTATAAGCCGCACCCACAAACCAAGATTTTTCACACTCATTGACAAATGGCCTTTCTACAAATGTATTATGGTTATGGAGCTAAATACCATGTTAGATCAGATAATGAAGTGTTAGTGCACCGCAGGTTGCTGCAGAGATGTTGGTGTATTGCTGTGTTGACTACAGATCACTCCATGTCATCTGCACTATCTTCAGTCTCGCTCAGACTCGCTGCCACTGATGTTGATCAGCAACACAGGCGCGAAGCTGAGTCGAATGACATGTCACATGACGTCAGCATGCATACTGATGTATGCTAACTTGCTTAGTTCATTCGCGCAAGCATATTCGGTGTATAAGCCACAGGGGCGATTTTGGTCCGATTTTTAGCGAAAAAAAGTGCGGCTTATACCCCGGAAAATACGGTAGATAAAAAAATGGTGTGGCCTTAAGAGTGGAGCCGACACGCTCTCTTCCATTAACACTGCAATAATTCAACTCATTTCGCAATATTACAACGTTTTGGCAAATTGCCTCCACCAGATTCAAAGTAATGTGCAAGCTCTCAAACCAGCATTGATAAAGGCCAACTCCTCTGTCAGTAAGAGCTGGGTGTAAGAAGCAGCGCGATAAGAATTCAGCTAATGGCGCTAATATCGACTATCAGTGGATGAGACTACAGCCGAGGTAAAAACAAAAACATACAAAAAGCACGTTATTTAGCGCCGAATGTCATGATAATCAGACAATAAGCGAGTGGCGATACAAATTACAGCAATGACCACCCAGCGCTAGTGATGAAGGCAATTTGCCGAAACGTTGCAATATTGTGAAATGAGTTCTAACTATTTACGAAACAGCAGGAAACCTCCCCGCTTTTTATAACTACATGTATCTTTCTGGACACACAAATTCGGCTTATGAATACACTGACAAATAGCTTCCAAAACTGTTAACTGCAACAGATAACCATGACGAGCACGGCACAAAACAGAAAAAAAACATAAATCAGAATGAGTACGGCAACAGTCAGTACTGTGTGTGTGTGTGTGTGTGTGTGTGTGTGTGTATGTATTTGTGTTTATGTGTATAATTATGTGTATTTGTGTGTATGTGTATGCGTGTCTGTGTGTGTGTGTGTCTGTCTGTCTCTTTGACTCTCTGCCTCTGTCTCTGCTTGCTTTGCAGCTTTGTTAATAATAACCTCATCAGCACACTAGATGTGCAAACATTCAGGACAGCGCTTAGCTTGGAAAACTTGTGAGTGATGCTCGTGTGTTTGTTTGTACATTTGTAATAGAATTTGCAAGTGCAAACGAGCACAAATACTCTATGACAAGCCAGTGAATATGTTATCGTGTTTAATACAAGGAAGTAGGGTTGGCGAGAAAATGATGAGAAGGAAGAGAGAATGGGAGATGGCTCAATGAAGAGCGAAGTGTTGTCAAAACTAGAATATAGGCAGCGAATGACGGTTCTGTAACCCGCCTAAGACACCACTAAGACTGAGTACGAACTACTAAACATCAAGATGGGGGGGGGGGGGATCAGAGGGTGTACGGTACGACGGCGGCTTCTATGGATCACGTGATGTCGGCCAAGTTGAGTCCGCTGTCCACACGCTCTGGTCACTTCCTCCACGAATTCAGTCACATTACACTAGGTGTGTCAATGAGTAGTAGGGTACCCGTACTACCCGTAATTTGATCAGGTAGCAGGGGGGCAATTTGCTCCTGAGAACCCGATCGGGTAGTTTGAGTACGGTGATTTTGCACCGGTGCATGTAAACAGCACGGCTACGTGCTTACTGTCCACTTCCTATGCAGCGCAAGTGCACACTCACACTACAAACTGTGTCTTAACCTTTTGAGCACGATGCTACCTGAATGCCTGCCCACGGCAACACCTGCAAAAGTGGCGTTTTTCCTATGAAAGTACTACCTGTTCAAGGATCGATAACTTTACCTTCCCTTGGACGAATTCCACGATCTTGGGCTTCCTGGAAAGGTCTTGAGACGAGGAGCAAACTAGTTCCAAACTCAGCTCGGAGCGAAACTAAACGCCCATGCTACAGTCTGGCAAACTTCACCCACGCGCTCGACAGACTTGAGCACGGGCAAGAGACCAAATCCTCAGCTGCCATTTCGCCCTCCTTGCTCGTATCGAGCTCAAATTTTTTTTGAGGACTCCCGAGATCCGCCACCATCATTTGAATCTAGTTTCCATGGCAGCAGGTAGCGCAAAAATGATCGAAAATGATCGAAAATGCAAAATACGCGTTCTGCAGACCGCGCAAAAAATTCTCTTTGAATTTGCCGTGTCGAGTCGCACATCTCAACAACCCGAGGTCGTATCGCTTCGGCGATTGTTTCTATCGCAAGCTGAGAGTTTTCTCTTCCAGATACATACTTCGATCGTGAGAATCGACCAAGAATTGACTGAGTTACGATAGTTTGAACGCACGCGATCCAGACAAATCGCGTATATGCGCGATGTACGCTCAGGACGTAATATTACGTCCTCCGTGGTGCAGTGGTATTCTGAATGACGTATTATTACGTCCTTCGTGCTGAACAGGTTAAAATACCCGGTAGGGTGCCCGTGCTACCCGGATAAAAACCCGAACCCGTTACCCGACCAAACCCCTACCCGTTGCAGCCCTACATTACACGACTCCTCCGATGTACGCCAAGGCCTGCAGAGAATCCATACATACAAACACAAATACTATGTTGGTGGCCATGTTGGCTCCGCTGGCCACATGGCACATGTCATGTGACTATCTACACAAGTCTAGTCACATGACAGATTCAAAACTGCTATACCGTACTCACTTGATTAGAAGCCCCTTTCGAATAAAAGCCCCTCTTGAATAATAGCCCCTCCCCCCCCCCCCCCCCTACAAGGACTGTTTGATAAATACAAGCCCCTCTCGAATACTGTATAAGCAGAAATATTCGTCTGGAATTTAATTTCGTCTTTTTCGTCCAAGGAGCTTTTGGACTAAATTAAATGTAGGACGAATATCGATTTGTCCAGCGTTTCTATACACTCTTATGATCTATGGACGAAATTTTCAACCGGACGAACTCCTTTTCTTTGGAGTTGGACGAAATTATTGACCGACGAAATTTTCTGCCTCTACAGTAGAAGCCTGGACTAGTATTGACAAAGCATGGGGTGACCAGGTAGTGCCATGTATGAAGGTCAAGTGTGCGAAAAACATCTCGTGCATGTCCATATTAGTACATGCCCTGGTCGGCGTAGTGTGTGCAAACTAACTCGGGGCTGAGTTGCTGTGAATATGAAAGTTTTAGAGATTCGATTGGAATACTGGTATGGAATGAAACAATAAAAGCCCCTCTCGAATTGAAGCCCCTGTGAATAGGGTTTGAATTGGTTTAAAAAAAAATAGAAGCCCCCGGCTTCTAATCGAGTAAGTACGGCATTCGTAGAAGTGTGTGCGGATGAAACGAAACTCAGGCGGCGTGTCCAAAGCACGCCGGCCTGTACAGAATCGAAAACAATATCAATTTCAAAACACTATCAATTTCTCCTCATCTACTTGTTTCTCTACCCGTGCGCTTGTTTCTCTTGCCTTGGAGGGCTTTGAATGCCAACAAGCTGTCGCACCTGCGCTCTGGACTGTTCACTGGCTTAACAAACTTATTCCATCTGTAAGTGTACTCTCACCATACATGCGGTGCACGTTGGCTGCTCATACTCATTCTCACTATCATCGTGCTTTATTTTATTAATACGCGCGCGTATAAGTCTGAAGGAAATGTTGAACGGTATCTGCTGGGATGACGACTACACCATAGCTCAGTGGTTAGAGCATCTTTGGCTACAAGAGAGGGCCCCCGGTTCAAGTCCTGGTGGTGACAGTCAATTTTTTTCTTCAGACTTTTCCCGTTTGTGTCTCTCCCTCAAACCAGTGGATATAAGTGCATGTGCCTTTCTTGCTCACCAGTTGAGGGAATGGCGGAGGGAAAAGTCTGAAGAAACAATAGACTATCACCACCAGGACTCCAGCCAAGGACCTTCGCATGAGGCCAGCGATGCTCCAAACCACTGAGCCATGGTCTAGCTACGATTATGTGCTTTATAATATTATATTAGCGGAAAAAGTATTTGCCAGTAAAGATATTTTGCTGTGCTAACGCGTCCGGCTAGAAGCACATGCGCTAAACGTGTGCCAGATCTCTGGCTCTTCGTCGTCAAAACATACACGGTTACTCAATCTCCGGACAGCAAGCTGTTTCCACCGTGGTAGGTCTTCTCATCGGAAATCAGTCACTGGCTGAGCCGATCTCACTGACGCCTAATGAGCAAGGCATCTTTAAACCGGCTGCTCATCGTGTCTTGATTCGGAGTGACGGATTCAGAGCTTTTTCAAGGTTGTGCCAACGGTCACTTTTTGGGGTCACGTACGGGGACTATTTTAATCGTTGGTGAAGAGGCGAAGCCCAGTTCGCGTTCACTTTTTATGGGAATGGATGCATCGAGGTGAAAGGAGCAGTAGAATGGCGCTCTACTTGATGTCCGACACTCATGTTGAGCCAGAGCAGTTGGCAGGAAGCCCTACCATGGCTTGGGCGAAAAAGAACAAGCTACAGAATGGCTCCAAGCGCTGGTGGATACGAACGCTGTCACATTTCATATGCTTTTCAATGCATTTTTGATATGCGACCTGGTCACCACAATCTCGGGGTGATCGCCGGGGCGGTGGCGGGAATGGTGTCCTTGAAAAAGCTCTGTATCAAAGTACTGGGCATTGCCTGATCCCGGACTGCGCTGATAAATGATACTATTTCTTGTCCCTCCAGATAAGTGATACCAATTCCCCCCCCCCCCCCTGAATAAAAAATATTAATTTTTGCCCCCCCCCCCTCCGGATAAAAGTAAAGGATCAGGGGAATTCTTGCTTTTATAATTCATACTGAGCATAGACACATTCACGCAAATTTCTAACCTACAGCTAACCACCTTGGCATCAAGTGTACATGAAACCCAGAAAGTGCAGCTTGCAGCTTGTGACTCTTGAAAGATTTCATTACTTAAAAAAAATAATAAAAAGTAATAAAAAAAGGTTGTGACTCTTTCTGTACGGGCGTCTCTGTCACGGCGAAATTCCGTGATTGCACCATAGTGGGTGCAGATAAGCGGCAGGAAGCGGCGTATTGCGCACAGCTGAACTGCAGTTGTGCAGAACAAGATCTGCTCGAATCCTGCTTGTGCGCACACTACAGGACTGATGTAATCACGGAATTTGTCAGTGACGCCAACCCATCCGAGCTGCACACTCTGGCTTTCATGTAGTCTTGTTGGCCTGCGTAACAGGACAGGACCGCCGGAGCAGTTTTTGATTGGCGCGGTAGTATCATGGCCATTCATACATTGTGTGTGATATGGCGGGTATAAAAAAATAACCTCCGCAGTAGGGAATACTCTAGTTTCACAAATTTTTCGATGTACTTTTATTTTCGGTACTTTCGGTGCATCTTTGTCATAATATTATGTAAAATTTCAATACACCGAACAAACACTAACACACATAATCCAATAGGGAACTACTTTTCTGTACCGAAAATTTCTGTTCACCTAACCTGGCCTTTTGCCCTCATACCGAAAATATTGGGCACCGACAACTTCCTTCTTTGTTTTTACAAAATACACAACTCACCGGCAGGCACGTCTGATGATGGGTTGAAACCCGTGAAATTCAGAGCTACAGCAGGAATGCTTCGATTCCTTCTTTCAAGCGTTTGTTATTTTTCTCTTACAGTGGTCCCTTTATAACCCTGCTCACCATTTGTGCTAAAGCAATTCTGCTGGATTAGGGAGGGTGCTGGATTATGGCCGATTCACAATACGACTTTCTGCGACGCGACTTGCGACACATGCGACGAGCTGCGACAGCGACACACGCGTACACGGTTCACAATATTCTTCATGTTTGCGACATCCTCATGCACAAGTAGTACTATACACGTGCACTGCACGTGCACCCAGGGTCGAAACTGTACTCCATTTGTGTATGTCGCTTGTCGCATGTCGCAAAAGTTGAACTTTCTTCAACTTCTGCAACAGGTGCATTGCGACAGCTTGCGACAGCTCGCGACAGGCAGTTTCTTGTCGCAACTGTCGCAAATCGTGTGTCGCGTCGCAGAAAGTTGTATTGTGAATCGGGCTTTAGGGAGGTTGCTAGATTAGGGAGGGTGCTGGATTAGGGACAGGCGCGTACGCAGGGTCACCTCTAGGGGGGTTTCTAACCGAATCGCAAACAATGACTCGTTTTAACCCTTTCTAAAGAACCCTAGGAAAGTTTTCAAAATTATGCATTTTTCGTGTTCTTTGGATCATAACTTCAGTTCTACTCACTCAATCTTCATTATCTTGGGCTTCCTGGAAGTGGAAAGGTACCAGGGAGAGAATGAGGTCGACCATGATAGCCAGGACACAGTACAGTCATGTACATATCCAGCGCTATGGCTATTTATAGCGGTAGAGTGCAGCGACGGTGCGAAAAAATGCCCCAAAGGCTTAACCGCGTCCTGCTCCAAGGATTTCGTTTTTCTTGATCCCAGAGTTTCGATTTTTTTGGCTGTGTTCTCTTGAAAATATCACAAGTGAAAGCCCCTGCAAAATTGAGCAAGTCAATGCGACGAAAAGTCTCAAATTCTGGATACTCCAGTCGCACTGCGCGCTTTTGAAATTGCGAGATCGCGGCTCAACTTACGAATGGTTTATCTCAAGAGACATTGCTCGCAGCGCGTCGAAAATTGTTTCAACCGACAGCTGAGAGTTTTCTATTCGACCTGGATATTTGGATCGTTGGATTTGAGCGAGATTTGACTGAGTTGCGATCTGTTGAAGTTTTGTATTCTTGCCAGATCGATCGTGCGCCCTACAAAAAATGCCCAAAAACGTTGCTCGTTTGGAACATTTGGGGGGTTTCCGGGCAACGGGAAACCCCCCATGCGCACGCGCCTGAGGGAGGTTGCTGGATTAGGGAGGGTGCTGGATTAGGGAGGTTGCTGGATTTAATAGGGAGGGTGCTGGATTAACAAGTCTGATCTACTGTTGCAATGTGCATGATGAAGAGGAAATTTTGGCTAATGAAAATTATGCTGGTTTGTAGAGGGTGCTGGTTAACCTTTTGAGCCCGGGCCCATTGAAAACCTCTGCCACGCAGTAAAAAAATTTAATTCCCGTAGCTATGCAGAAGACGTTACTTCAGTAACGTCTGGCGCTAGCCAGGGTCCACACAGCTTTAATTTGGTGTTTGTTTGTTTGTTTGTGTCACGCCTGGCGCTATCCCGTATCTGTCCCGTACTGTCCCGTACTGTACCGTACCAGCAAAGACAGCTGGCCACAATACTTTTGTTTGTTTGTGCCATCGACATGCCTGGCGCTATCCCGTACCTGTCCCGTACCACGTAGAATGAATATATATGCGAAGTGTATGGGGGAATGCATTCAGTGCAGTGACATTTTGTGTGGATTTGTGTGCGAGGCCGAGATCCCACTAGCAGGCTGGCTGGGCCGCCTGTCGACCAGCCCGGGAATCGCATGTAGGCCGATAGCATCATAATTATAACGTATATACAGTCATGTAGATGTATAGCAGGGAGTCATATTATGTAAACGACTCCCTGCTGTATGGGGAGATTTTCTGGAAAGAAATACGAAGTAGGCCTTGGCGGATAATGCCGGCAGAAAAATTGGCAGAATTCGGTACTTTTTCTGGTAGGTTTCATGCATGTTTGGTATGTGGATAAAGAAATGGAGCAGAATTCGAGGAATTGCACGCCATAAGGTTTGTATGGTTCTGCCAATTTCACTGCTTTTCGAGCAGAATCTGCCACCTTTTCGAGCATTATCCGCCAAGGCCTAATACGAAGTAGGGAGACGAGTAAATGCAATCAGAATGGATGTTAGTTGCCGTCAGTATAATAATAAGAAGAAGAAGAACGCCCGTGATCGGCAGAGTCAGCGCCGGTCCCAGGAAACGTCAGGACAGACATCCCGTCGACTCCAGAACGCCCGTGATCGGCAGAGTCAGCGCCGGTTCCATAGCTATGCAGAAGACGTTACTTCAGTATCTCATTGAAACGTTTTTGCAATACAATGATGTAGCTAATCAAAGGAAAAAGCATTTCCATCAGTTCTACCAACATGCACGATGAGCTAGGCAACAAAGCATAGCGCAGGGCCCTGAGCTTCCAAGCTCTCTCGTTCACTCTATGTGAGCAAACTTGATTTCAAACGATTCTTTCATGTATCCTGAGCACAGAACTGTTTTTTTGGAAATACAACAAAGATTACAAGAGTAATGACCGTTTTCATAAAGGTAGTTATACGCGAAATTGGTATTTTGAAATGTATGCACGCACATGTGACTCCAGTTCAAACTTACGGAGCGACTCGCATTTTTTTACTGTACTCGTGCATCCGAGGAGTCCTCTGTGCAGCGGTACAGCTCCACGCCACGCCACGGAAGAAACGCGGTATCGATGTAGTTCCGTACTGACTCGTGACGTTCTAGAACGTCACGCGTGTCACAGTGGCAGTGGTCATGACGTGTCAGAACGCCACGTGTGCTCAAAAGGTTAATATAGTGCCGGATTAAAGAGGGACGACTGTATTCGCTTCCGAAATGCTTGTTTGTTTTGTATGCATTTGCTCTCAGTGCCTTAACATACAACCAGCTAACGAGCATCTCACCCACACAGTTTTCTGACACCACCAATATGGGTCACTTGTAAGTCCGCTGCTCTTCCTGTGTTTATTCCCTGCCTCATGCTGCTGACGTGCCTGTTGCTGCTGTCATGCTGCTGAGGTTGCTGTCATGCTGCTGACGTGGCTGTTGCTGCTGCTGCTGCTGAGGTTGCACCTGGTGGTGGTGCTGCTGCTGCTGTCATGCTGCTGAGGTTGCTGTCATGGTGCTGCTGCTGTTCTTTTATCAGCCATTTTCTTTTCCATGGCAACAATACAATACAATCATGTACATCAATTTGAGTGATTTGCAGCAGCATGTTGATAGGATTACTGTCGCTGGGTCTTACAGTTTTAACCTCTTAAGGGGCCGTCCGTAAATATCGATGTTTTTTTAGAGACGATATTGGTGCTTCTCTCCCTTGACCCCCCACCCTCCCCCCAGAAGACGCACATGTACATCTAGATCATGGAATCAATATTTTTGCACGGACTGCGCCATCACCATAACGTTCCACGAACGCATCAATGAACTCTTCGTATGAAGAGGGATTCGACTTTTTGTAAATTCCTGTATCGACTACACAACCCCCAAACAACGTCAACTGTTTCGTTTTCCGTTTCTTGGGCGGTGGTGAAGACGACATTTTCACAGCTAACCTGTCACTTTGCCATGGCCATGCAGTTCACAACTTTCTCAACTTCTCTCTCGACAAAGAACAAACTTCAGGCACGGCCAGTCAAAATTCACATTTTACATGAAAAGATGAGGGCGCTGGCGCGCTAGCGCTACCCGTGCAGTACAACTCATCGTACAAAAAGCGTTCAAAGTGCAACACATCGTGTACTGGTAGCCAAAGAGGCTACGATCGGGCTTGAATTTTTTCAAATCCTTGTTCAGACAGTGAACACTGGAAACTCTTGTGGAGTTCGTCCGTGTTTGTTCGCACTGCCTCTACGTCTTGAAAAAGGTCTCCTGCAGGCATCGTTCGGCCGATTTCCACAATCAATAGCTCATTCTTTTGCTCTTGAAATTCGCCATGGGCGCACAGCTTCCAATTTTTGATTTTGTTCTTGTGTCGCGAGTTTTAGCTCCGCGAACGGAAGCTGGTTTCACATTTCTTGTATAGCCATTTAGACGTCCGCGTGCAGGGATCGGCGAAACTTCAGATATTTACAACGATATTTTTCTGATGCTCGAAAAGACGCACATGGCTCAAACCCCCTCCCCCCCCCCCCCCCCCCCCCCCAGACGCACCAATATCGTCTCTAAAAAAACATCGATATTTACGGACGGCCCCTAAGGGCGCATTCACACGCATGGAAAAACCGGATACGTGTACAGCTTGCCTGGCGTGAAAAGTGTTTGGTGCATTCAGACGTTCTTCGTAAAAGGCGTGCAAATCCCTAAAGGCGCTTTTTTCGCCATGCCAACCAAGCCAACCATGCGGCCGCAGCAAAACAAAATTTTCAAAAAGAAAAAAGTGCACAGTGCATGTGGGGAGGGGACAAAAAATAATTGTACAGGAGAGGAAGAGAGAGAGAGAGAGAGAGAGAGAGAGAGAGAGAGAGAGAGAGAGAGAGAGAGAGAGAGAGAGAGAGAGAGAGAGAGAGAGAGAGAGAGAGAGAGAGAGAGAGAGAGAGAGCAAGGCCAGTTTTGTAGCTGCATTCGACTTCTTGAAGAGGACGTCGTCCGCTTCGCGCGAACCTAACCTGTCACTGTCATGTCCTAGATTGCCACATCGCCCAACACCGTTCTCTTCAACTTCTCTCCATGGTCGTCGTCGTTCTCTTGGACGAAATCTATCATCAGCGCTCCTGATGTTCATGGTGTGTTCTGCCTCTCTCAGACGGGAATGCAGGTGATGGGCAATCCACCGAAGCGTCGAGGAGCAGAGAGGTTCCTGGGAGAGCAAAGTACCACTGTGGCACAAAAAAACAAAGATGTACGCTCCCGGAGAGGCAGACGACTTTCTTGATCGAAAGTACTGTGGAGCGTACCGGGTGGGCCAACAAATATCTGGCGCACAAGAGGGAATACTGGAAATTCAAACTAGTATTTCGCCATCCATCTCCTCGATTTGTGCTGCATGCAAACGACTTACACACCTCCACATAGCTAGCTCTTCGCCACGGCTCGCTCCTCACCAAACGCACGACTCGTACACTCAGCGTTCAAATCACCGCGCCAGGCCCACTTTACGGGCAGTAAACCTTCGCCAGTGCTCCTCCGCGCGCTGGGCAACTTTTCCTGGCGGAAACGCGCCAGGAACGGCATGTGAGCACTTTGACATGACAACTTTCCCGACTGCCGTGTTTTATCCGGGGGCTAAGCACGACGCTACCTGACCCCCCCCCCCCCCCCCGCGTCAACACCTGTAAAGTCGCCTTTTCCCATGAAGGCACTAGCTGTTCAAGGATCGATAACTTTACCTTCTCTTGGACGAATTCCGCGATCTTGAGCTTCCTGGAAGGATCTTGAGACGAGGAACAAAATGGTTTAAAACCCAGCTCGGAGCAGAACACAAACCCCGTGCTACAGTCTGGCAAGCTTCATCTGCGTGCTCGACAGACTTGAGCATGGCCAAGACTAGAAGAGCTCAAATATTCAGCTGCCATTTCGGTCTTCTTGCTCGTATCAAGCTCACATTTTTTGTGAGGACTCATGAGATCCACTACCATCATTTGAATCTAGTTTCCATGGCAACGAGCCACTAGGGACTCGATACGGACCCACGGCTATGATATGCAGGTTCACTGTACAGCGTCGTACTAGTACGAAGGGCGTGGGACACTCAACTCAAGTGTGTCGTACTAGTACGAACGGCGTGGGACACTCAACTCAAGTGTGTCGTACTAGTACGAAGGGCGTGGGACACTCAACTCAAGTGTGTCGTACTAGTACGAAGGGCGCGGGACACTCAACTCAAGTGTGTCGTACTAGTACGAACGGCGTGGGACACTCAACTCAAGTGTGTCGTACTAGTACGAAGGGCGTGGGACACTCAACTCAAGTGTGTCGTACTAGTACGAAGGGCGTGGGCCACTCAACTCAAGTGTGTCGTACTAGTACGAAGGGCGTGGGACACTCAACTCAAGTGTGTCGTACTAGTACGAAGGGCGTGGGACACTCAACTCAAGTGTGTCGTACTAGTACGAAGGGCGTGGGACACTCAACTCAAGTGTGTCGTACTAGTACGAAGGGCGTGGGACACTCAACTCAAGTGTGTCGTACTAGTACAGAGGTCTAGCCAGGATTTTATGCCAGCCGGCCAACGTTCTAGTTAAAATGCATCGTTCTGGGGGCTGCGCCCCCAGACCCCCGCCATCAGTCAGTCACGTATCCACACAGACCCCCCCCCCCCCACACACACACCACTACAAATCTTGCATTGCAGCTTGCATCTCCTTTCGCTTCGTCCAATTATGGGCATTCATCAGGCAGTTGTGACAATGTGATTATAGGTAAATTAACAACATATGAAAAAGGAAGCAAACAGCTACATGAGCATGGATCATGTGTTCACCAACGTCATGTCTGCATGCAGTGTACATTGGTCATCTGACAAGACCCAGCCTAGCCACAGCCATGTACACCACCAGAAGCACATGACCCAACCTAGTACCTGTTACATTTTACTGACGTACTCAAGTGCATACTCAAGTGCATTTGAGCTTGAGTGAAGAGCTAGCACTGAGCCTGAGTAGCCAGTGCTACGTACTGTACTGTACATACCTACGCCTAGGATATGGGTTGTACTCCACCATCTCGACTCAAGTGCCAGTGCAGTGCACTACAGTCTACATGGGGGTGACTGCAGCCGGCCAAAATTACCCTTGGAGCTGTCTCAGCCGGCAGGTTGCCCTCCCAGCCGGCATTCTGCCGGCTGAGCCGGCTTTGGCTTGATCACTGCTAGTACGAAGGGCGTGGGACACTCAACTCAAGTGTGTCGTACTAGTACGAAGGGCGTGGGACACTCAACTCAAGTGTGTCGTACTAGTACGACGCTTGCTCTAAAGAGGTTAATATTCTGTTTTTTTTTTGTACTCAACTCCCCAGGTCCATGAATCTGAACAAGATAGCCAGGTTGGACGTCAAAACGTTCCAAAGCATGTCTAAGCTTACCAGTCTGTGAGTTTACTTCTGTGCTCTGCGGTTGACACACTGAGTTGAAGAATCAGGTGTCCTATATTTTCTTACACCAGGTGGTGTCTCACTTACACACAAACACATGTAAATATATGGCATGTTCACACGCACACACGCACACGCACACACGCACGCGCACACACACACACACACACACACACAGAGAGAGAGAGAGAGAGAGAGAGAGAGAGAGAGAGAGAGAGAGAGAGAGAGAGAGAGAGAGAGAGAGAGAGAGAGAGAAAAAAAAGAGAGAGAGATAGCTAGATAGTGTGTGTGTGGGTCTCTCTCTCTCTCTCTCTCTCTCTCTCTTTCCCGCTCGTTCTGCACCATTTGCACACCATTTGCACAGTTTAACCTAAGGCATGTTCCGTTGTGTGAATCCGTGGGATCCGGATTCACCAAGCCTGGACCTGTTTTATTGTACGAATCCGGGTCCAGGTCGCACAGATTCAAATCTAGTTAACCCGCCTTCCAACGGCGGATTCGACAAATTCAAACCTTTTCGGTCGGCTCCCAAAGTCGGGCAAAAAGAAAGAGAGAGACAGAGAGAGACACAGACAGACAGACAGACAGACAGACAGACAGACAGACAGACAGACAGACAGACAGAGCATACATGCAGTTGCACACTATTCGAAATTGCGTAATTGCTTGCTTAAGGTGTGCAACTTGGTTGGGCCGCGGGGCTCCCACCTCTCGGGTGCAAACATTTTTTTGTTTGAAACCGGGCCACCAACGGGGCCATAGACGATTGAACTTTGTTACTTAGGATATCTAGTGTTCAGAGAATTTGTTAGGCAGGTTCTGCTTGCCGGCCACCCTCAGGAAGGGGCCAGATTTAGCATACTCATAATTGCCAACTCGGCCAAAAACAATTCACGGTCCGCGCTAGACTCGGCTGGGGACCAAGTTTTCCGCATCCATAGGAACACGACCACCCTTCAAGGATCGAGGCGCAGATGCAGCTCCTAAAGCGGTGGGAGGTGAATAGATCAGACCCACTGAAGTGGTCATGGACCAAAAATCCCATTCGCTGCATCCGTGCTTCCCTCGTGCCAGGCCACGAGTTCCCAATTAACTGTGGGTCGTAGCTCGGCGGGAAAAAAGCCGTTCCGCTTCCAAGCAGGACATGAGCCTGGTACCCAATGTTTCTCAATCATGGTCTTAGACCATCCCACTGTGCATGCCTTTCAAAACTATGGAAAGCATCTTTTTTTGTTTGGCGGTAGCCTCGAGGTTACCCCATTGTTCTTCGTTTTCAACATCAGCACAGCAGTGTACCTGTGGGGTACCGAAAATAGCTGTAGAAGTGGATAGAATCCTGCTTGAAGGTGACTTCTTCTTGTTTCATTATCATCCAAATTCAGCCAAACCGTCCCACTAATTGACCC